GCCAGTTCGATTTGCTATATTATGTATCTTAAATAGCTCTGTACGAGGCAATTTGCCAGCTGTGTGGCGTGCGTCAGCAAGAAGGCGCGCTCGGCGCGGCGTATCAACCATCGTTTTTGGCGTTCGTGAGGCCGCAGGAGAAGGAGGATCAATCGAATGAGACTTTCGGCAGACGCGGCGTCTATTTCCCTGTTTAGAATCCATTGTTCCCTAAATTTGAGTGAGTATTGGTAGAGAAATAGAGGAATGAAGAAGGGGGGAGGAGGAAGGGGATCTGAGAACTGCCATAAATTTCTGCGCCAAGCTTCGGTCCGTAACAACTGAGCCCACTATCGTGAGCCATGTAAAGATTGGTCTTCAAAGCTTTATATGTGGCCCATAGATTTGTTCTATAGATAGCGCAAATTTGTCACTGTAGTGAAACAGATGAATGGTAGTACAATGGTAGAGGAGTTTGCCAGAATGGAGATGACTCCGTTAAGGGTACCCTCTACGGGTAGTAGGTACTGGTGGTACTAGTAACTGTGTATCGAAACAGATTAGGATCCACGTTTTGTTCTGCATACCTCGAATCATATCCAATTTTGATCCATTGATCAGGTGAAAGATCTCTAGTTGACCCCTGTGTTTCTGAATGGGCCTCCTTCCGTATCGAGATAGCATTGCTGCAAACCAGCTTTAATTAGCGCAACAATTGAATGTGTTCTAGGAACATCAAACTCAATCGATCTTTAAATGCCCTTTTTTCTTGCTTTACTCTCAAGACTAGACTTGTAAGTTTACAAGTAGGATCATCCAATCGCTCTTAGGATTTTGACTATTCTCAACCTTTGGAATCTCGAAAGACGTAGTCATCAAGCATAGAAACACTTGATATTATGATCTTGTCTAAAAAGGGTTTGATGTCTTCATGGTGAGAGTGCAGCAAAACTAAAACGTTAGAAGCATGGGAATGCTATCTCAATACGGAAAGAGACCCATCCAGCGAGACAAGGAATAGCTGATTGACAGCGGGTTCGGAACTGTTGAAACTGACACTCTGTTTGAAGAAAAAGACGCTGACCATCATTACAAAACATGCTAAGCACGTCAACGTCTCATATACAGTACTACTAGTACTAGTACAGTAGTTATCGTTGCTGCATACTTGAAACTTCTCGATTCACGTCGCTTCTTCTTCTATCACCACACTACGATCTCAAATGCTTCTCCACCTGCGCGGTGACATCCGCTTACCCAGCTCTTGCTCTATCAAAGCTTTTGCAGGACTCACATTGGGTTGGAAGTTGGCAATAACTTCTTTACCAACACTATGGCTGCTGCTGCTACTGCCTCACCGGTGACAGAAATCTCAACCTGGCTTTCCGGCGACATCGTATACGACGTATTATATCCAACATTATTAATCCACGAAGATTATGCAATTTTGTTCGATGCCAAAGAAGTGAAGACCAATCGGCTGCTTACCGTCAAAAAATATAATACACCACAAAGAATACAAGGTGCATTGCTCAAACGAAGGATAGAGTATGAGCGGGAAGTTGTTGCTGCTGTCCGAGGTGGAGTAAGTACATCAGTCACAAATGAATGTGTGGCAATTCTTTGTTGAAAAAAAGGCTGATATTCTTTCCTTTCAATTCACATCCTGGAATGGTTTTGCTAATGCCGTAAGCAGCCTCATGTCATTGTTAGCGGCGCCCCGTTTTGGAACAAGGCGACGAAGAGGATGGAAATGTACATGGAGCACTATCAGCATCGTCTTAGCATATGGATGGATGAAACATTGGAGAACCGAACACTTCGCGGTATGTTTCCCGCCGACCTTGAGTGACGGTGCTACACAAATCATGATTCTGACGTCTCTCCAGGTATCACCATACAGATAGCGCCTTTCTATCACACACTGCTGACCCAAATGCTGTCAGCATTAAAGTACATCCATAGCAAAGACATAATTCATTGTTGCGTTATACCACAAAATATCCTTTACAACAATCATAATCATTTCGTCCTTAGTGAATTCAGTTTGGCCAGGCACGCACATAAACGACCATATGTTCATCCGGGGCTGATCACGGCACATATGGCTCCAGAAGTGCTTGACAAGAAGGAAATAACTTTCACAACAGACATATGGACTCTGGGCATTGTTCTATTGGATCTACTCCTTGCACCAGCCCTTGGAGGGGATACATCTTGCTTCAAGAGCGATGGGATATGCAAGAACCTCAGTGAGTTAGCTACAGAGCTAGGCCAAGATTGTGAAATGCCTGAATTGGTGAAGATGTTGAAGATGAGCCCAACTGAGAGGCCCTCAGCCAGCGATCTTCTTGAATATATAAAACGCCACCCAAGACCTCAAAAGTCCACCCAAGATGTCAGTGCCGGAGTCTTGTATAGGTACGTAAAGCTTATGTATCCCGATGAAGACGATGCGTTTGTTCGTTTTGCGGCTATCGAGCAATATGCAATTTGCCAATCACACCGAAAGGGCTCAATGACGACAAGCTCAACCCCGGGCAATGTTGGGGCAGTTCCGGTTCAGCAAGACCCACCCAGTAGCAGCGGCCAGAATTCTGCTACACCCTCCATAATAAGGGGATCACCGAGCGAATCCGAGCCTCAAGAACTTTGTCAGGGGGAAAATCCGAAGGCATCTTCATTACGTCAAAGCCCGACGCCAGGAGCAGCCGGCGCATCAAAAGTGGCAAACACAGCAATTGGAACAAATAACGATACAATGACGCTGTCCTATCGCCCCCAAGAGCTCGTGACTTCAATCGCCGAATCAGCCAAAACCCCTCCAACCACCAGGTCGCTTGAAATGGGTGGAAAGACAAGCAAAATTACGACATCATCCTTGACCGAATCACAGGGAATAGCAAGTTCATCAGCTTCACCTGTAACGATATCGTCAGCAGCATCGCAGAGAATGCCCGCATCATCAAGCGCCACGTCCAAGAAGCGCCGTAAATCCGGCCGGCACAAGAGAAAGGGACGTACGGCCCAAGACGAAAAAGCCATCGATTTACAAGATGTCAGCTCCACTCAGCGCTCACAAATTCATGCCCCAGAAGTGCCCGAGGCAGGTGCTGGTAGCGATCCTATGGGATCCTCTTGTGTAGTTTCCTCAGTTTCAGAGAGCGGTCTCACATCTCGTGGTCTTTGGCGGGAGCGGCAAGAAACGATCTGTGAGGAGGCAGAGTCTGTCCGGGAGAAGACACAGCAAGCCCTGATGCGACAAGCAGAGAAGCCAGGATCGATTCAGCAGGGGGCATTGCAAGTGGAACAAGCAGCAGGTTCGGGTTCACACCAAGCAAGCGCACTACTCTCAGCACATGACACCGGTGGTCATGTCAGACTCATGGACATTCAAGGACCTCATCGAGCTGGTGAGTCCAAGCTAGAACAACAACGGCCGACTGGAAAGAAAGAAAGTGAAGACCAAGAAGCCGCTAGAGCTCGAGAAACCATTGAGGCTCACGAAGCCCTGAGCGCTGGACAAAAAGCTGCCAAGGCTCGAGAAAAGGAAGCTGTTAAAGCTCGAGAAAATATCGTCGCAGCTGGAGAAGCCATCAGAGCTCAAGAAGAAACGCCCAGAGCTACAAAAGCCGCTCGTGGTGTTGAGGCCACTAGGCATCGTGTGAATACCACAAGGGCCCAAGAAGTCCGACAGGAAGCCGCTAAAGCTAAAGAAGAAGCTGCTAGAGTTCCTGGAGCTGCTAGAGTTCTTGAAGCTGCTAGAGTTCCTGAAGCTGCTAGAGTTCCTGAAGCCGTCAAAGCTCGAGAAGCCGCCAGAGCTAAAGAAATCGCCAGAAATCAAAAACTCGCCAGAGAGCGAGAAGAAGCCGTCAGAGTTCAAAAAGCCGCGGCAGAGAGCGAAGCCCGAGAAATTAATGCCATCATCAAAGCCACGACAACTCAAGTGAAACCTCCCAGAATTCAAGAAGCCGTCCAAAAGCGAGAGCACAGAGGAGAAGCTGCCGTGACGGAAGCCACGAGAGCTCAAGAAGCTATGAAAGAATCAAAACCTACAGGCATTCTGCGGACTGATGTGATTCAAGCACCGACCATGGCGCCCAAAAAGAGAGGAGCTCCTCCCGAAAGCTCAATGGCTGCTGAACTCATTGGCTTGAAAGACCGAGAGAAGATGACTTCGACTCTGCCCCGTGCCCGTAGCACTCCCGACTTGTCTCTCATTCTTAGGGAACAAGAAATACTCGATGCGCTTGAAGCCATCAGTTCTTGTGGAATCACCGGTCATTCTGACATCGCCGGGATCTTGAAGCGTCCAGGGGTGTTAGTGGGGATGCCCGGAAATGCAGATGCCACCAGAGCTCTAGTTGAAGACGCAGCCAAACATATATATCGGGCTTTAAAAATGATGAGGGTCTCCTCTCATGCTCGAGCTAGCGAATGGCAGCCTCTCATTCGAGCGCTGGCTAAAGAGCCAATTAACTTTTCTGTCATTTCCTTTATGACACGTAGGCAAGACAAGACAACAAGATCTCGCCAAGCAGCACTTCAGACACCCAAACGCAATGCTGGTGGTGACCCCATCCAGGGCAGCCTAAGTGAAGAAGCAGCTTCCAACAAGACTGAACCCACTGAAAGTCGGGAGGTCGGTCAAACCGATGCGCGGCGTGAATTTTCCACTCCAATGTTGTCCGCCCATGCATCCGCTTGGGACTCATCCATGAAATGTGTAAGCCCATGGGGTGCGATTTATCGTGCATATGTGGAAGATAGACTCCCTCCGGTCCCTCCTGCCGAATCCACGGATGCAGAGAAATACCAGGCATGGTTGGATGCTGAGCTGCCGGCTCCACCACCACGTCCCCATCCTGAGGGGGCAATCTACGACCTGTGGGCTCGGCGAACAGTTCGATCGGACATGCACAACTTTCCGGATATCCTTGAAGAGGAAGCTCAACGATATTATGCGCATGTGCGAGGTGAACAGTCGCATCTACAGGGTCAAGTTGCTCAAGACCGAATGGAGCAGGCTCGACCTACACATGTAGCACAACGCCCAGCCAACTCCGGACTCCCTCTGGACAACATCGAGATAATACCACGGCAAGCTGGTTTGACACTTTCATCGCCCTCCATACCGACTGTACATTACAAGAGCCTGCAACAATCTGGCTCACATCCTTCCCAATCAGCTCCGCATACGTTTTTGAGGTCGACCTCCTCTCCGTCAGCCAGACCGTTTCGTTCAGCATCTGCTCAATGCCCCCCCTCTTCACGCTCTACCGGCCCCGAACCGCGAGTGGCGTCTCAGGTCCGAGAGCGGCCTGCCCACCCTTTTCAGGGACAAATCCGCATGGTCAAATCTAAGAGCACTGGCACGCAGCAAGTGACAGCCTGTCTGCCTGGGCCCGACGCTGAGACAGCAAGGCAGCGGGCCGAGAGCCAAGCGGGCCCATCGCGTCTTCGCCCTGCCACTAGAAAAGGTGCATCTTACACCGAGGGAGCTCCAAGCCAGATCGATCCACCGATTCCTATGCCGCGTCCTGCTGATGACGAAGCGGTCAAGAGCATGCGACGCAAGTGGGAAATGGCCCAGAAGCTACGGAGAGACCATCTGCGCATCCTGCAAAAGATGGAGGCTAAAAGCTCTATATGATCCATGGGAGTGCGTAGGAACGCTTGTTGTTCGTGATGATATTGAGAGTAAAGATTAGTAAAAGTGCGCTGTGAGAGAAGCCGTTCCTTTCGTGCTTCCGGTAGGATGCTGATAGTGACCAAAAAAATCATTAGCATTTTATTATTTTCATTCCAATGTATTCAGCTTGTATTTCATTAGAAGAGAAGAAAATTTTATCTGATGTTAGCAGGGTGTAGATTTGGTCTTAATGTTGATTATAAGGAGGCTAAACCTCGAATAAGCAACTTGACAACAATCTTGTTCGTAATACTGTGTGCATTGCGAAATATGTCATGCGCCTGCTATGCGCCTGCCGTGCGCCCGTCAGACGCCAAATAGAGGCCATATAGCCGTCCGCAGGGCATAGATAGAATCAACACACTTCTACCACACAAAATCAGCGTCTTTTCTACGCCTTTTCTGCGTCTTTTTCTCGCCTCTTCCTGTTAGGCCGCGGCAGTCTAACAAAACACTTGCAAATATTTGGAGATTGTGCGGAGTTGCCGCCGCGGCGTCATGGAACAGAAACAGCTCTTTAAGACCCCTTTACTTAAATAGCGCAAACTGTATTTTGAGTTCAACACAAACAGATATTGGCAGACCGTCTAGGCCAGATCAGATCCGCCTGGCTCCAGATAGGTCGGGTCAGATTCGTTCCCAAGTATAATCTAACCTGATCTACTAGTATTTGGAACGCTGGTTCGACGTTCTGAGGCCTTGGCACTTGGCACTACATTCTGAGTATATATTTCATCTTCTGCAGGATCTATCCTAGACTCCTAAGCATCACATATCTGGCATATCATACCATTCACCACAACGTTGCGGCAACATGAGCATTTTGATGCTTTTTGATTTTTCGTTCCCTTGGAGCCCGTACTGGGTTGCTCCTACACTTGGGGAGCAAACGGAATTTGGCGAACGCGGGAATAATGTACCGCAAAGCGAGGTCGGTATTATTCTCAAGTCCTGCATCAATGACTTCCTGGGCCAGAGCTGTGAATACAGAGTTAATCATTTCTTCCCCCATTTCTTCGGTTAGCCAATTCACTATCTGGACCGTTTCGCCTTTCACACGATCCACGGACATACAGAGTGAAAGCATAAACAAGGAAAATATTTCCAAAGCACACTCAATTTCGAAGCTCTCGCGAGATGTGGTCTTGATAACAATGTCCTGGGGTTTAGCGTCTTCTGCAGATCGCAAGGTAAAGGTTCTTTCAGTCTTGGCATTGATAGGATCTAACATTCTGTGATAAGGAGTCAGTGTTTATACCACGGACTGTCGTGAAGACGCCTTACTTGAATGAGGCCGAATAATAAACACCAAATACAGGCCAGCTTGATAGAGGTTCCCGCCTGGGCACATGCAGACCTTCGAAATTAGAGCTAGTAATCGAGTCGAGTGCTGTACCTGGCATCCAGACTTCCATTTGCTCTGCTGTGCAGGAATCTGAGCTGCCTATAATCCGTAAAAAAGCAGCGTTTGAGTTTCTTAGATCATTTTGATTGCATAAACGATCCAACGAGTTTTTCTGACAAAGTAAAGAGTACATCCAGAGGGAAAGACCTGCAGTAAGTTGCTCAGTCAAAGCGGCTTTGTCTGGGATAGGGCCCATGTCAACGACCCAAAACTTGAGGGGCTGCTCTCGTAAGCCCTGCTGCACGTCAACCCACCAGTGGTGATTGAGCCAAGGCGGACGGCCTTTATTTTTCCAAACTATGTTACCGCTCATGTTCATGATATTCATAACCCCTATCATGGCCGCTGCCAATTTCGAAGCGAGATCGGTGTATTCCCCCCGAGGTATGTCTGGTACAATTGAGATTTGCCTTCTAATGGCATGCATCTCATAAGACTTTTGAGAATGAAATCCACGAAACCCAAGAATGAATTCATGTTTAGATAACTGTTCCAGTTCCGTTTCGTTGCCAATAGAATCCTTGAGAGTATTCCCAGATTTGGGCCTCTTAGCTGTTAAAAGTGCTGGTTGCCAGGCGTATAAGCCGTTCACTGGATCTTTTTGGATCAACCCTGTCAAAATCCCCCAATCACAATCTCGTGAAGGAATTGAGTGATTATTGTCATCTGCTGCAGTCAAAACATCTTTCCAGTCATTTCTAACGCTGCGTAGTGCGAGCCAAACCAATTCAAACTTCTCTGGAATTGAAACACATGAAGGGTCTTTTGCAAGGCCCCTCCGAACAAATGCTCTTATGATCATCATGATGAAACTGACTCCAAGTACGATAATTGTGGCAGACCAGTGTAGCGCACCTAAGCCTATAAACTGAACTATGAAGCCAGTTATAGCAAGAAAGCTCCCGACAGCCGACAGAAATCTAGTCCGAATTAGCATTGGACCATATTTACACTAGTTATATGAAAAACAAAAAGGATAGTTGCTCACCTATGCCTTCGGCTCTGGTCGTTCAGATGAGAAGCACGGATAGTCATGGTCTCTGAAGAGTTCAAAATTGCGAATGATGGGAAGTGTTGAGAGCTGACTGTGCTGTCTAATTGCAGACAAATAATTTGTTCAACCCGGCTCTCTTTGTCCTGTGATGGCTGGAATGTGTGTTCTGTGGTTGAACCTTCAATAACATGACCGCTGGCGAGCAATCCAATAATCATGGCAATAGTACCAGCTAGGAAGCAACTATACGCATATGTAGGTATAGCGACACCTTTTCGTAACCACTTCCAGTGATAGGTAGCGAGTGCAGAGAATGTCAGACTGAAGAACTGGAGGAGAACACTAATAAGCGCCCAAAACCATAATTCCTTTGCATTGAGAATAGTGCCTCGAACATTTAGAGCGATGTTCGGGTTTGTAAGAGGATCTTTTTAAGCATTTCTTCGCTCATATATTGTGGTGGCTTTGGCTGGATAATAAGTAGTCCCTGTTGATATGCTTTGTGGGCGTCTAGAAACTGAACACGCTCCACAGCTGGAAGGCTACCTCCTCCTACTACGAGATACTTTATGTGGTTTGGCTTATCGATTAAGCGGACAACTTCTCTACCACTCCAGAGTTCGCAGACTTCTTCGGAAGTTGATGACAGAAACTCCTGTTCTGCGCTCGCTCGACTGTCTCGAGATCTGATTCCATGTGAGGGGACTATAACGGAAAACCAGAGATTTAAACATACCGTCCAATAACCGCCTTGAGTAACCGAAGACCGCCAATGCGAATAGCACTAACAGCGATGGTAATGATTCCAATCGGGCCCATGGCAAGCAAAATGTTGTCAGCCCATCCCATAGACATGGAAAGAAACTGCTTCGTGGCCTGCTCACCGAAGAGGGTAAGGAGCGGCCCCGCCGCCGTGCCTACTGTGTTGAAGAAGTCGGTCCAGCCATCCGTCATGGTGGTTGGCGCTGGAAACGAAGAGTTCGTCATCGTTGCCGGCGCCATCTTTTCGACGTTCTTAAAATATAAATCTCGACTTACAAAGGAATTGATGTTGGAGCTCCGAAGAAAGAGTAAACCTCTATCTTTTGAAAGTTTTAAATAAAAGTATTAATCAGGCAACGTATCATAGCTGAGTTGGCGTAAGGGATGAGGCAAATGATTCAAGGAAGTGGATCCACCCCAAGGGGCCAAACTCTGCCTTCTTAGTGCGACCATGAGTTAGCTGGTACATCTAATTGAATGGAAAACCTATCGTGGTTGGTTTGAAATGGGGGTAAGGCAAGTCAGGCGCGCGCCTGCATGGCAGGGCCGACAGTAACGTACTCAACTAACATGTGCACCAGAAATCGCTTGGTGTTTTAGGTTTCAGAGTGTATTTCTATCAGTTGGATATTACTAGTGCCGTTTGGAGGAAGAAATAGCTTATTAAGCATTACGCAACCAAACTTTGCTTGATTCTGATCATTCAATCCACATCTGTGTTGGTTTTAGACAATATTCACCAAATAGCAACCACCTGAAGCTAATGAAATTGAAAATTTTAATTGACATAGAGGTACAGAGTCGTATATCAAAAGTAATAAAATTAGATATATAGCATTTATTCTTGCGATGTGATTCCAAACATCCCTGGGGTTAAAGTAGATATGTGTCAACCTGCTGTGCAGAGTGCGTAGAGAAGAAGTTGATTGATAGCTACGGGGGTAGAGAGCGTAGATCTAAGTACAATTGGCTGTACTGTACAGCAAAATTAGAAGCGAAATTGCAGTGTAAATTGACCAATTAGAAGCAGTAGAAACGCACGAATTACGCACATGAAACGCGGCCAATTGGCCCTCTCAGAAGGTCAACAATATGAAGCTTAAAACGTCACAAGAAATGCCACTATTACACTATGTCCCCTAAGCAATCACTATTTACGGGTACTTTGGTTTCAAAATCAGACACCTGGAAGTTAAGGCTCATCTAATGTCCTACTGTTTCGGTGTCGGCAAGCTTAAAGCTTATCCCCTGTGTATATATTGAAAAGCGCCAGACTTGCGCCGTGTAGGTTGCGCTCTTGTGCATGTTGAAGAGAATGATCGGCCTTCTTGGCTTCCATGAGCAGGAAGGGGAGCCAACGCTAGTCGCCTTCATTGCTGGTGCTAAGATACTTACTCAGAATGGTGGTGTAGGGCAACAGGTCAGCGCCAGTCAGTGTATTGCTTTGGAACGATAACGCCAGATCCGGCTTCGATGGTGGGATCTTGTTAGGCGAGCCACGAGGTGGAAGGAGATATTCTGCTTCCACAGTCCACTGCTCTTCACAGTTAAAGGCGAACAGATTTCCAAAACCCTATCGATCAATGATAAACATCATGATGGTCCTCTGAGAATCGGCTTCACTGGAAGCCATACAGTGAACCCTATCAAATGTCAAATTGCCGGGGTGATATAGCAGGAAAACGACGATAGGAATCATCAAATAGCTTCCATTCGATGTTTCGCCAAGAGTTTTTCCAACTGTCAAGTCAAATACACGATCCCGAATATTGGCGTATCCTCATCGAAGAAGCTGGAAGCATCCCGGGTTGCTGATGGATGTGACTATCTGCTGTCGAACCCGCCTGGCAGCGGCTTGAATTCTCTTGTTCTGAGTTAGTGTTTTGGATACCCCATCCTTTCGTAAACGCTTAGGTGCTGAATTATATCCCGTCGTTCTGTGTCTGTTGAATTCTGCATTGCCTTCGCTCATCCTCCCAATAGGATTCTTCATGAGCTGTGCTGGATTCGCCGAGGCCTTTTCGAGGGTCTCCCAGTTTTGAAATAGCCGGTGTGGCGCCTCAAGCCATGATTTCATGATCTTATAGCCGGCAACACAACTGGGACCATTGCTGATCATACCAACTCAGCGCATCCAGTAACCATTCAGCACAAAAGGCGCCCAGTGCACCAGCTTCGGCCGCTTTTCCATGATGGCGAGAACCGCACGTTGGTGTGCAACCGCGAGATTAATGCGGTTATCATTAGCTATTGAGGAGGGAGTATCAGGTGAGCTTCCCGGTGGCGGACCAGCTGCGCCCGGAGAGGGAATGCCTCCAGACTCGGCGGCCGTCAGAGGATTGGAGTCGTTGCCGGGACCCTGGGCTCTCTGTGGCTCAAGCCTGGCCGGTTCGACAGGCGTGTTCAAACGGGAAGTGTCTTGGACGGCTCGTTGCTCTCCCCTATCTGCATCCTTCGCCGTCTTCTCCCTCTTGTTCTCATCCTCTTTGCCCTCCACCTCAACTGTCACCTTCTCCTCACCGCGTGTGGCCGGCTTTGCGAAAGATTCCTCATAAAAAACCTTAGAATAGATTGCCGCATCCTTGTCGTCTAGTCGCCAGAGGCCGCTTACTGTGCTTGTCGCTCCCGCGTATAGAAAAGCAGGCACGAGCCCAACCACGTCTGACGAGTCCATAGTGGTCGACATACCAGAGGAGCACCCCAGGAGTGTGGCGTGGTAGCCTCCTCTTTGTCCACCAGCAGCCATCCGATTTCCTGAGTCGTTGGGGGGTGCAGGCCCTGCCGCACTCAATAGAGCAGGCTGGATGATAGCCTCTGGTGGCTCCGGGAGGGCATTCTCACTCTCTGCGCCGGACTGGGCAGAAAGATCAAACACTTCCCTCAAGGTATACCGCTTGTCATCAAACTCGAGCCCCTGGTCGAGCGGCTCACCCTCTTGAAAAGAGGCGTGACCGTGGTAGTGGAACAAATCCAGGTCTGGAATATTAATCGCGGACTGGAAGGCTGAAGTAGTGAAGTCATTGTCAGTGACGGTGTGAGCTTTCACAGAAAGTTGGTGAGAGAGATCGAGGAGGGCTTGTCGGCCTTCGGTAGAGGGAGGGTCCCCGAAGAGGACAGCTCTAGGGAGACATTCTGCTGACGCCGATATCGTCGTAGCTGCGTTTGCCTTATTCTTTTCTATCTTTGCCTTCCGACTCTTGAAGACTACATCTAACACGGTGAGACTACTACAATACACGATTGGGTTCCTCTTGATCAGGACTTCTTTTTCTACTAAAAGTGCGTGCAATGGCACCTGATGTAACTTCTCAATCGAAGAAAACACCAGCACCTGACCTGGCCGCGTGTGCTCGGCGAGAGGCTTCACTAGTGGGTTCAGCTTGCGGAGAAGTTTGCGCGAATCAGCATGGCCCAGGTCCTCTTCATCCATGGCCAGGAACATGTCAACAATCTTGTCTACTTCCTCCCAGGTAATGTCAGCAAGTACCACAAGCGGCGGCTTGTTGGGCAAGACAATAACGACGATAGGCTTGCACGAATTTGTTGTTGGGGCGGTGTTTTTGTACCAATCAACATAGACCACGTCCCCTCCGGCGTCGGAGGTGATCAAGGACAGATCTTCCCGCTTAACGACTGGGACTTCTCTGTATTCGGTGAATGGAAGGGCGCCGTTACTGCGCAGGAGAGCCTGTTGATCGAGCCTGTTGGTCTGCATGAGCCAGCCCAGCCCGGTGGATTTGCCCATCTGTATCATGGACCAGATACGAGTATCACGCCATTCTCGGGCTTCTTCGGAGAATTGACAAAGGACGGCGACGGCGAGAGGTACGATCTGGAGCCGCATATTCTCGGACACCGCCTTGAGTAGTTTATCTACCTTGTCCCACCCACTCAACACCTTCCAACCCTCTCGTCTCTTCTGAAATGCTTCGTATGATTGATCCAGGTACTTGAAGAATTCATCGAGCATGGACTTTTTCAGCTTCATGGCGCCCCAGTAATAGAGCTGCGCAATGAAAAGCGCCGTCCCTGCTTCACCGAGAATGTTGCCTGCCCTCACCGCTTCCTCCAACGATGATTTGTGGAGATCAAGGACCTCGATGAATTCTGGGTCTGCGTCATCGGAGAGTGGTGCACCCTGTCGCCTCGAGTATATTATGTTCTTCGCACTAGCCATCATATTTCGCCGGTGAAGTAGAACCGACTTCGCAGATTGCTGGGCTTCTTCGCACAGGGTGGGCACCAAGTTCACCAGGCGTTGGGCTTCTATCAGGATGTCCTCGGCTTCGACGACAGAGGCAAGCTTGTCGACCTGTAATCGGTAAAGCAGGTAGTGTCTCTTTGTTTCATTGTAAGTCGCCCGGTTCCGGAGCCATTCAGACAAGATCATGAAGACCTTCTCCCATCGGCTGTTGAGGGTGGGAGAAGCCTCAGCGCCGAATAGATTGAGGTGGAGTTTTTCTGGTGTTAGATGGGTGAGTAGCGTCTCGACATTGAATGTCTCTGTGGCTCCTGGCGTAGGAAGCAAGATGCATACCAGCTCTTCCTTGTCAAGTTCCCCATTTACCGAAGCCGTTTTCAGCCATCGCACCAATGTACTAAGGACAGCACGGGGACTAATGACATCCGTCGATCCTAGCAGAAGGTGAGAATCTTCTCTTTTTTCGAAGGGTAAGACAACCTCCTCGATCCACTCCGCGAACCATTTTTTGTGTACTCTGATCTCGGTGGAGTCGCCACCATGCTCAGCATCAAGTCGAACAGCCATCTCAGCAATAGATCCCACGTTGTATCCGTCTTCTTTCCAGAATTGGTCCCGCTGGCGAGTTATCTCGTTCATCTCTTGCGCAGTCTTAGCGATGTTCTCCACGTCCTTGAGATTAACATAGATTTGAAGCGCTTTGCGTTTGCCCATTAGTTGCAGTTCCCACAATTTGAAGTTCGGATGTGCCGCGTCGAACTCGTTATGCCATTTGAGAATGGCCCCGAAGTCCTCAAATAGTTGCGCTGCAAGCTCTGCGGTACACGAATGACCCAGATAGAGGAAGTAGCTATCGCCGAGCTCCTCTAAGAGAGCTTCTTGCCTGTTCTGCCAGCGCCAGAAGATCTCCCTGTTCTCCTGCGATGGGGTTGCGGTGAGGACTTCCAGCGCTGCCTCGGCAGCTTTGGTAAGGGCAGTAGACATCATGAAACCATCCTTTTGTACTGCTGGCTGTTCGCTGAACCTTTCCCAAAGCTTCAGTTGCATACTAGGATCCGGAAAGTTCGAAGAACGCAACTCACAGAGACTGATATCTAGCCAGGAATTGTTCAACTCGGTCGGCAGGGGTGCCTTCTGCAGCAATTCTTTGGCGAGCTGGAACTCCATATTTGACCCGCTGACCTGGCCGTTGCTTCGAAGCTTTTGAGCTAGCAACAATCGAGTTCTGCCCTCGACGTACCACAACGGTTCGCAGGCAGGAGGAGCCTTGGCGCAGGCTTCAAGCAGGGATCCACAAGCTCTCACTTGGGTCTCCTTGTTAGACAGAAAGTTTACCTCGATATACAAAAGAGCACAGGCGTCTCGTAGTCGGCCGTCCCCTTGCAAATACTGCCGTAGCTGGGAGATGGGAGGATCAACGCTACCCTTGGAGATATGCGGAATGGTTAGAAAGTAAGCTTCCTCAAAGTTATCAGTTACGTTATTTGCCATTAGAATCACAAAGTAATATTGAATGATACATTGAACCTATGAACTCGTCAGTAAAAGGGGCTCATGGCAAGCAGAGATGGTGTAGCTTACTTGAACGTCAGTATATTCATCAATTGGAATGTTTTCAAGCCATCTCTTGATCTCCCTCAGGCTGTCCCTTGCCTTTGAGAAATCGCCATTTACCAGGACCTCAGCTCTAGCCAAGGACATACGCAATAACGTATAAATCCCAGACGCGTCGTCGACCTTGCCGTGGGCCTCTGCCCAGGTAATTGCCTCTCGCAAGACATTCAAGCAGTCTTTGAGCTTCCAGTCTAGCCAATAAGTCTGATATCGCTCAAAAGCAATGACGGGATGATGCTTCAGCTCGGGAGGAAATGCGTCGAAGATGGCTTTGGATTGATCATAGGCACGCACTCGGTAGTGGAGGATAGCTTGTTCAAGAGGAGCAATAGCGGCCGGGTCAAGGGTATGATATTGAGACCAGAGGTTCCCATGGCGCTCGACGGAGGGCGACGGTTCGATCTCTAGTGGTGCTGGCAGCGGGATCACGTCACCTGAGACCAGTAGCTGTGGTATCGATGGTTCTGCTGTTGAACGATTCGGCTCTTGCGTCAGGAAGAGAGAGTTGACGCCCGTAGCGAGGCTACCAGTATCGTCTGCCGCTGCCATTTCGAGGGCATCAACACGAGTATATCCTGGCGGATTGCACCGAGGACAATAATAGCAGTCGCTCTGCAGCTAAGCTCCGTTTTCATCAAATTCTTGAATAATTCATAAGGTGGCCCCTAAGCGCCTGCAGCTCCGACTCGTGTGACCGGTGGGCGGCAGTGTGAACAGAGAGGTTACACCAAAGTTTCTCCGCACCAAATTTCTACTCCTTTTCTCCTAACTAAGGGAAGCACAGATCCACAGACAACACAGAGGGCGCAGATATCGCAGAGAGCGTAGGACTCGGAGAGAACATAGAGTTCATAAAAACATAGGATAGGTGGAATTTATAGAGGGCCCGGGATTCGCGCAGAGCACGGGATTCGCAGAGAGCACAGAGCTCATATAAAAATAGATTAAGTTAGAGAAACTTTGATGTGACCTCTTTGTACCCACCGCCGCCCGTACTAAGGAGTACTAAGGAAGCCCCTCCGTTCCCTGTCTCGTAGGACTCATGGCCCACTCTTCCATGAGGGTCAAGGAATGGCATTCATTGAAGCATCAACTTATAAGCGTCATCATTAGTTCAGACTGTTGATTTGCTCTCGGATTTTCGGCGGATATAGAAGTGGTGCCCTGCAAATCAACAATGAATGATGGATGTAGCCGCGACTTCTGCCAATGACAATGCAATCAACCCCTTCGCTAAAGACGAGAAAAATGAAGACCCAAAGCAGATTGTCCCTGACATCGAACAACTCGCGATTGATCCTCACCCCATTCCTACACCAATTCTCAACAATGACGAGCATAAGAGCGAGGAAGATGTCGACGCCTCCGACGACGAAGACGGCCCGACTCTGACGCTGCCCCTAGAGGAAGACGTTCTCCGCAAAGATCACCTGTTCGCCTTTCGCAACAAAACCTCCGAGCCGGTGCCAACCAAGACCTACCGCCCATCAGAGCAGCAGCTGCTGCAGGAGGGTAAGCTCGGCGACTCACATTTCTCTGCGCGACTGAAGAAGGTAAAGTTTGGGCGCTATGCAACCGAGACAGGAGAACGCGTGCCAGCGTGTCTGATCCTGGTCCGGGTAGACTTCATACCTAAAAGTCGCGGATGGTTTCGCTTTCGGGATGCTAATGTCGAGGTCGCCTTTACGGATGGGCCAGGCGCTGTGAGCAACAGAACCTCTGCCGACGATGAGGACGTTGACGACGACGACGATGGTGACGACAGAGTTTACACTGGTCCGCTAGTCCTCAAATTCTACCCCGACCTGATCCGAGGGCACACGCAATCCGCCTCGGAGCAGTTCAATCTCTCGTTCAACGTGCCCCTCGCACCCCTCCCTGCAGGCTCTCCCTTCATTGCACGGGCGGCTCATGGGCGAGCCGGAGACGCGCGTCAAGTGGAAGATGCATGAGAACGAGGTCGTCAAGGGCGGTGTATACGAGCAGCCGACGCTAGCGGTGCTAGTGCGCTATCGCGAGGGCGAGGCGTTCACGATGGCGCTGAACATAAAAGCCACAACGTATGGGGGCTTGGCAGTCACAGGGAAGAGGGGTGCCAGGATCACATTTAAGCCGGGTAAGCATGGGGCGAAGAAGGAGGAGCCGTCAATGGCGGGCCTTACGGGCGGGTCGGTGCAGATGGGCGGGCAGACGTGGGGCGTGAAGAAGGGAGCATCGACTGAACCCTCCGACGAGGATCTTGAAGCTCTGGATCTCGAAGCTCTGACAGGCATGCGTGCAGCATTGCTGGGCGCGCAGGGCCCTGGATCCGCAGCGCCGTCTGTACACTCAGAGACACCTGCGCTCTTAAGCACTGGCTGAAAAGCATCTCAATAAATCTGCTGCTCTTCGCTGGGATTCGCTCTCGGACTTCCCAGCATCTGTTGCATCTTACTATCCAATTTATGTCACGGTCGACAAACAACCATTGTAAATAGGATTGAGGCGCAATTGCATCTACGGCAACCTCTTTTAAACGCCATTTTAGTGGTAATGAATCTTGTAACGGAATTCATCCGATTTTCTATTCTAGGAGCGGCGAAGGAGGCTCCGCCAGATCACGAAACCCAAATTGAGGCTTCTAGAGCTATGGGAAGGGAAGAGGTAGGCGGAGAAAAATGAGCTATGGGATTCTAAGGTTGTGTCGGAAGAAGTAGAACCGATTATAATAATCCTCGGCGACTCTTCTGAGGGTTAACTCAGAGAATAACTGCTATCATTGCTCTGCATGACCTAAACAGGTACAGAAGAAGACTTCGACTGTCGACAGCACAGGTCTACGGTCTTGGCGCCTCCCAGAACTGAAGTTCTGGCGACAGTGAGCTATGTACCGCTTCTATTACTCTGGTACAACTTGAAACATGCCCTTTGTGTGCAGAGATAGGCAATGCAGATTTGGCAACCTCCATAGACGCTCAGTTTATGTAAAACAGAAAAGAATATTATTTAACCAGTAGAGATTTCTCAGAGGCTGCAGCGGGATTATGACGCTAAATCGCGGGCATGCCAATCTTGATAAGGAAGTATAACCATTCAGTGACACAGGGGATATTGGCATCGGATAGCTAAGTTCAGTCGGTTTCATCTGTGTAATAAGTACATTCAAGATATCCTGTCCATTCAATTCATCGACTGTGGGTAACATGGTCTTAGCATGCCATTACACTAATTGTCCCATGCTCACATTTGACTTTGCACCGAGTCCACAGTCCCCACCTCATGCTGTCATCTTTCGTCTCCCCTGGAAGGCAGAACTGGGGAGCTGCCCAAGGTACATAGTGAAGAGCAGCTGCATTAGCTACATCTCATGCAGTAACGTGATCGACTGTTCGACACTCGCTGACATAGATGTAGCCCGCCAAAGATCATGATCCCGGGAGTGATTCGAGATGTGGAGTTGGACTAACAAGGGTAGCATCGTCATAGCTTAGTCAATTTTGGTTACTAGACCTTCACTTGTTCAGGTCCTCCCTCTAGACAATAATAATTTTCGAGTATCGTATGTACAGCTCTCCTCTCTGTAACTGCTTCACTTCTGCTGGTACCGACACGCTCACCCCTGACGAGTTCCGTTGTATTGATGTAGAGTAAGTCAGCATCCTCATTCCTGTGCCAACACCTTCAAGACGCAACTGTATCGGCGACTTGAAGTACCAAATTTCCACCATTTGACGTAGCCACATCCGGATCCGGATAATACCACGCAGCCACAGCACATATTAGGTAAATAATCTATCAGACACAACCCAGTCAGTAACTTACAAGCCCCGACAAGGTTAGAATTAGCTTCAAGAGTTCAGACTTACGACGAGCAGCGCTCCTTCAAGGTAATTCGACTCGCCATCACGGAGGAAATTGCCGATGACCAAGATGGACAAAACGAGCAGAGCGATCATGAAGATCTCGAAGTTAAGGTCCATGGGTTTGTTGAGAATCCAGCCAACGATGACGACGAGGGGCGCGTTGAAGAGAGCGGTTTGGATGGAGGGGCTGAGGCAGTGGTAGAGGGCGAAGTTCTGAGAGCGGTGGGTAAATACAATTAGCACTCAGCAGGTAGGCTATGAGCAACACAGAGGACGTAGATCACATCCAGAGGGTTAAAAAGAAGGCCATACCATTTGATCGTCCCAAGCCTCATCAATGGCTGTGAGATGCTCCGCTGCTTTCTCTACCAGGGGCAAAAGAATCAGACCCAGAAACTGGTCCGGTACGCCTCTATCGACGACATGCGGAATCTGCTCGACAAGAAACTCAGCCAGGAGGCATACGAAGGTGAGCGAGATGACGAGGGCAACGACACATTCGGTAAATGTGAACTTCGCCTTGGCGTGATCGCTGTGTCGGTCTCTGTCTCGTTCCTCGTCGCTGGCGAGTACCTCGTCAAAGATGCTGTCGTGGCTTCGGGCGTTGAACCATATGTAACTAGTTGGGAATTAGTACATGTCTTTCCGACCAGAAGTGGGAAAAGACGTGATATTCACATGAAAAAGGCAATAATAAGGATGATCGAAGTGATCTGACTGATCTTAAGTGTGTCATGTCGTAGTTGTTTGTCCCCGTAACTAGCCTCACTGCCTGAGGCGGTCACAGTAGCTGACTTGAGGGATGAGTAGAAGGCACTAGGGATCAAGAGCCCAAAACCAGCGACCAGAAGCAGTCCTGTACCGACTTCACTGACAGCAGCGTGGAATTTCTGTGACTGTTGTCGTAAGCCACCGACGAAGAAGCACAAGCCCAGGCATAAGAGCAGATTTGTCAGAATCGAACCAAGTATGGCCGCCTGTATGACTGGTATCAAATTGCCATGCTCGGCGGCGCCGTTGTCCTCCTTCGTGCTATGCTTCTTGATTAATATCAGAAACAGAATAATCTCAACGATAGATCCCAGCGCCGTCTCGACCAAGACACCAGTCACCTTGGGCATCTTTCTTGCGAGTTCTTGGCCTGCGAAACCCAGCAAATTTGCCGGTGCCACCATGCCGATATAGCTCATAGCGAAGATCCATATGTGAAGGCCCGAGAAGCCATAGTGCAAGATGATTGCGATAGGAGCGAAGGGCCACAAAACATTGACCAGCATGGATACCTGGCTTGAACTCTTCCACATGATCTTGCAGAATGGGACGAAGTCGAATCCATGTCTGCCGCTCTCCCCTTCAGGGGCAACGCTATGGATAATGTTTAGTCCTGTGTGATGGTTGAAAGTTGGGAGCAATTGTTGAGACTCCTGGGCATCCTCATGATCGTTCGGGTGCTCCGCCGGGGACCTTGAATTATCTTCTGGACCCATAATTTCACTGAAGAGTAACGCTGTTGAGATGACTTGAAGATTGAAAGAAATTAAGCCTGATTAGGGCGGACACTAGCGGATTGGAAGCCTTAATGTGACAAAGATAATATAAAATTTTTGCAAATTTAAAATGAGAAAAATGCCTCGATGACGCAATTGGTTAGCGTGTAAGGCTTTTAACCTTGAAGTTGAGGGTTCGAGTCCCTCTCGAGGCGTATATCTCTTTTTCTTTTTGGTTTTTTGGACATCTGAAGTGTGGGTGAAAATGGGCAGTCCAATTGTTATGTAAACATAAAAGATGGATTTAAAGAGGGGAAGTAGCGACCCAGGGGTAGGGTCTTAAGTGCGACTGGTATTGCTCACGATGCCGGCCTACTACGTAGTAGATCGTGGCCAGGAGGTGTTACCCGCACCCTAGCGAGTCTGCCCAATTTGAATCACACCATACAGTATTGCCCTGTACTTGAGGAATGGTCTCGTATTTAATATTCGTACTTCATTCATATGCTCCATAATGGCTACTCCTCCCAGTGGCCGCTGCCAGAATCCGACATCTTTCCTCTTTAAATGTACCCAACCGCTGGCACGCAGCAGCTCACTACTGGGACGGGAGGCTGAGCTAGTCGGCTGATTCAGGGCTATTGACCAATCTGTTTCGGAACTGGAAAAGGAAGCGGTGGTACATGGAGGCGATGTGGTTGTAGGCATGGTGGAGTGGTTCAACTTTGCGACCTTTGATATCATCGCTGACCTGGGCTTCAGAAGCCAAGTGAATGTTTGAACAAAAGGAAGAAGAGCTGCAACACTGGTGGCTTTGTGCAATATTCATCCGCTTGCGTACAGGTTGCTTATTTGGTCTTGGCCGCAGAGGGCACCACAGCAGCAGCGAGATCACTTTCAAATGTTCAAGGACAAGGTACCGCGCCCGATGTATTTGGAGAAGCAATGGCCGGACTTAATGTCACACGTGTTGAAGCACAACCAGGATAGCATGCTAAGCCCGGAGGAAATTGAAGCTACGGCTGCTACTGTCATTGTAGCAGGGAGCGAGACAACGGCAACACTCCTGTATGGCGTGACGAGCTATTTGCTGAAAATTCCAGACGTCTTGCAGATCCTGGTCGATGAAACTCAGGGCATTTTTACTGCCAAAGCGGACATGACGGTCCACCACCTTGCCAGACTGCCCTATTTGTCCGCGGTCATCCAAGAAGGGTCTCGAATAGTCCTGCCCGTGCCTGCTGGCATGCCTCGTGTTATACCCAAAGGGGAGGATATTGTTTGCGACGATTGACTGCTTGCCGGCGTAAGTCTCGTGTTATTTGTGAAGCTTAGCTGCGATGTGTCAGCTTCCTCCGGTTTCAAGCCTCCATTGTGGCTGCGTGATTGATTTGAGACTTCAAGAACAAAACAAAGAAAAGAAAAACGAGAAAGAGACCGAGATTTTCTCATCAACCTATTCGCCCTTGACGGTTGAGCTAATCTTTCACACACGAACTGCCGTATCTTATCCTCAATAAGCTGCGAACCGCTGGTCCATGAACTTTAATGAGTCGACATTCTTACTCCCTTCGCGATGGTATCCCCAAAATGCTTCGCCGCCCATCTTCTCTGACAAAAGAGAGGCTCTGTAGCCCTGTACTCGTTCATTCGGAGCCTGCGATCCTCGTCACATCCCTTTCGTGGTAGTTCCATATATGGATGGATAGGTACGGACCTGTAAAAAGATGAGTATGGTTTTGAATATAGTCGCTATAGTGGGACGCCGGAACCAATAGAAAAGTTTTGTGTTACTTTAAGAATATTCTTTGCGAAACGAGTCTAACAAATATTCCATCCCTACGAGCGACAACATGAAGTTCTAACCTGTATCGAGGCGATACGCCCTCGACTGCTTGGTATTCTGGTCAGTGTAGAACCCAGTGGCAAGGTGGGAAAGGTGAAGAACGATTCGGCGGAGTCCACCGGGCTGTAAATCGAGATCAAACTCCAGAAGATCGACTCATAAAAGCATGGCCGAAGCAAGACGCTGTCGAACTCCATGTCAAGCACAAACGGCTCCAGTGTTCAGGAATGGCGTCGGTACCATTTCTATTAGGCGCCAGGAGAAGTTGTTGTGGAGATCTCGAAGCTGTTTTCTCCATGTCGAGCCCGCAGCGGCGCAAAGGGCTAGACTAGAATGTTATGTGTGGGTTGAAAAGGGGGGTGGGGGGTGGAAAGAACTGTGTTCCATTGTTATCATTACGTTACCGACTATCATGTTTAAGATGTCGTTTGAAACATATTAGTATATCAGTAGCAACGGTTGGGAGACGGAACGGGCTGTTTCTTTTTATCCAGCTAGCCAGGTTGGTTTGAGGGCGTGGGGCCACGCAGAAGAAGTATCGTATGGCCAAAGGCATTCACTAAATTCCTTTTAACGTAAGAAGTCCATCCTTTCTCTCTATAGCCTGGGGATCTTTCGTAAACCTGCAAGAAGTTTGATAACCAGGTCGCCTAACTCGGTCCATTCCGCCTACTACACTTACATATCCAATGCTTGCTGCAGCCATGCGCCTCTGCCAGGTGATGAGAGAAGTTAGAAGCAGAGGCTTTTTATCTTCGATGCTAGATACTAGCGCGTTCCGAATTGGGGTGATCAGTCAACGCTAACCAGGCCGCTAAGACTAACTCGCAGTCTACCCGGGAACTGGGTGCCATCACCTTCACTGGGCCCGGAGCAGGGGAGGTGGGTAAAGGTTTCCGCTCCCCTCATGTGCAACGCTGCATAGTGAACACTGTACTGTCCATAACCTACCATTATTCACCTCCGAAGCAGAAAAAAATGACTTTCCGACATCCTTTCCTACTTCTTGCCCCTGTCGTTGAACGAACATCCATCTGCCGAAGATTTTCCCTACATCTGAACAGCCCACCAGCAGCAGCAGCAGCAGCGATCCAAACTCGAACACATCAATACTGCCCTTCCCAATACCACCGGCAATTCACTAATACACCCATAAGCCGCGAGAAAGCAGCACATGACTCATCATCAACGCATCCCACATCGAAACCATCCAGCCCACCTCAACAGCCACAACAACCCCGCGAGTCTAAAACCTATACCTACGAAGACATAGCCGCAATGACAGAATCTCCAGACCCCAACCGCATCATCATAGGTCCGTGAAGTCAATTGACCTCCTATTTAGCTCGCCTTCTCCCTCCGTCCCCTTCTCCACCTTCAATCTAGCCTGACTCCGCTCCCCTCTAACAACCAACCCAGATGTCCGCGAATCCCCCGAACTCTCCCAAACGGGCCACATCCCAGGCGCGCAACATATACCTATACAATCCTCTCCAGACTTCGCATTCCTCCCTGCTCCGGAATTCGAGTCAAGATTCGGCTTCCCTAAACCTACGAAGGATCAAGAAGTAATATTTTATTGCAAGGCCGGGGTTAGGAGCCGGGCTGCGGCGAAATTGGCGATCCAGGCGGGCGATTTTGGAGGGAGGGTGGGCGAATTTCCCGGCAGTTGGATTGAGTGGGAGGGCAAGGGTGGGAAGGCTGATCGGCCAGGATAGCCCGGCTTACGTGATTGGACAGTTGGTCAGGCTGTGATGAGGAAGAATTGCAGGTCATGGATGGAGATGATTTGATAGGCTGCAAACTTGTTCCTAGACTCTGATGTCACATTAATCGAAGTGTGCCGAAGGGTAGAGGTGGCTCCAGGGTTTTAAGATCTCATCCTGATCGTGCTCGCCACTCTCACGTTGGGTTTCCAGGGAAGAAGACTCCACTGTGGAACGCCCGCGCAATATAACTTGCAGTGAGTGGGAAAGTTGATCTTGGAGAGTGGTTCTTTCTCAGGCCACTGCGAAACCCTTCTATGGCACCATACAATTTATCACTTGGTGCCGCTGGCCTCTTCACCATGTGGTATTGAGCTACACTAACTTTTGAGTTTTATGACACTGGGAATAGATCTGCAGTTTTCAGGAGGTGTACTATTGGATTTGTCCACAATGTTTTCCTTCAACATGTCTTATGCCATCAACGAAACATTGCTCCGGAATGATCGAGTCAAGGTGGAAAGCAGAAAGGTGGCTGGGCAATTGTCGGATCCAAATAGAGGAGCAGTGACAGCTCTAAAACATGCGTCAAGCCTTTCGCACCACTTTTGCAATGGGCAATATTTCTCCCTTGGACTTCCGGAGTATCCCCTTATCTCCAAAACATCAAGGTCACAGTCTTCTGTTCTTCAATTCTTTACAAGAAAAAGTAGAAAAAATAAAGAGAGGCTCTAGGAGTCTTTTCCGGGCTATAAAATCTATAAAATCTAATTCTCTTAGTATATAATAATATAGCTTGATTAATTTCTTTAGACAAAGCTATTATTTTGTAATAGATCGAGTAACTTGATTGATTCTGATGTGCATAAAGGAGAGAGCTGATGAGCAGCAAGAGCTAATCTAAGAAGAAGCGGCGCTAAGGCAGAGCTAACGGAACGTGCACGTGACAGTAATTTCGCTCCGCAGCACAGCAATTTTTGGGTCGCGCCAAGGAATTGCAACACTTTTGGAATGCACAATACTTAAAGCAGCCTTGGACCAACATACAGGTACCACCACATCAATCTGGCCAGGGAAATTTGATGGCTGTCAAACAAAAGCTAGTTTACGGTCCTCTGAGGGCCGCGGTCCTTTTGGTCCAACAGTTATGAGCCCTTATAATCCGCATTCAGAGTGCGCTAGCCACTTTAGGACACAATACCCGCTTCCTGCCAGAGGCCCCAACGTTTGGAGTCCGCGTCCGGATGGAAGGGAAGTGAAGCGTATTAACTTCCTAGATCGAAAGCTCCTGGGGGGGTGTCAAACAAAAGCTAGTTTATAGTCCTCTGAGGGCCGCGGTCCTTTTGGTCCAACAACAGCCTTGTCTAGATATGCAATGTGGGCTGCCTAAAATGGGGCCCTTCAGGCTGCTTACGTGGTATCCAGACTGCCACATTGACTGTTTGAATTTGATCGGCTCTTCTAATGAACTTCAATGTACCAATTTTATCTTGATGCCACGAATTTGTTAGCTGCTCAACAAGCCATTATACACACTACATTACAGAAGTCCACAAGCTCGAGAAGATTACACGCGATTGCTCCCTCTTGGTCTCTCGGATCGCATCGATCGTTACAGACTCCCCACAGAGAGACAGACAATAACTTCGTGCAACGAACAACCTCGAAGAGAGTCTGATGACATGGGTGAGAGAATAAAGGCCGAATCTGCTAGGCAGTCTTTCCTCCGATCAGTCGGTCTTAAAGCTGTGCAAACAGGGAAATATCTAAAGCGAAAAGATCCCCACGACTGGGGAGAGCAGAAGAAAGTCATTATAAGCACTTCACGACGCATTGCATTGACTCGAATCGGGGTTCATCTTTTACCAGTAACAATTTCCGTCTTTGTGATCGCTTTCAACACTGTAGAGCTCTTGAATGGCCCGACCCTCCCCGGTGTCTCAACCTTTTTTCTGCAGGTGGCAGCAAAATTCCGCGTCAGTATTCTCATTCCCTGCAGTCAAAAACAGGACTCTGTTCGTTCCTCGTGACGTTAATGCAATCTGTTGAGTAGGAATTGACCATTACTGGAAGCTTGACTGTTGTCGTGCTGGATGTGATCCGACACCAGCTCTTGAATGGAGGGATTAACATTGGCTTACTGGGTTCAGGATTCTCATTTATTGGATTGAATTTTTTATGGTCGCCAAACCTTTTGAGCACATTTCGCGCCAAACTTCCACCATGGTCAAAGATCAGGCTCTTCTCTATCATCATTCTGTGCTGCATTCTTGTCGCCATTGTTGGTCCAGCTTCAGCTTTGCTCTTTATTCCCGCTCAGGTATGGAAGGACTACGGAGGCACCGAGTTCTACTTAGGCGGTACAGATAATCAGCTATGGCCCAATCATTTCACTTCCAACCATAGTGGCCCAGAGATCTGTCATCAAAATCCTCCCGTGCTCGAGACAGTCTGCCCCTATGGAGGGTTCCAGACATTATCCAATGGACTCCGGTTCCCTCCTAGTACTAGTTTCCAGATCCTGTTAGATGATAGAAAGCTTCGACGCATAGTGAATGGACATACCTATTCTTACGGGCTCAATATATCAACGTCTGAGACGTGGGTTCACACTCCACGTGGCGACACTAGTCGTTTTTTGGAAGACCTAGACCACAAACACCGAACAACCCGACACATTGCAACAGGGCGCAACAGACGATTGAGAGACTTTACTGGTGGTGGATACTTAATGTCCGAAGGACAAATTCCGGTTGGACGCACAGTATGTGGCCCAGCGGCGGTCATCGAGGACGACACAGAAGCTCTGCCTTTCCCAATCCTGGCCTCTGATCACAAATGGCGCAACATATCTTCTTTCGGGACAGACCAAACCTGGGGGCCACTTAAGGAACTCAAGATTGGGGGGTTACAGCGCATAGAAATCACGACTAAACTCACACAAGCTCGCGCCAAATGGGTTGCTTTGGGCTCAGAGTTTGGAGCAGCAACTGCTGGAATGGCGGTTGTCAGTCAAAATCGAACGACTGCAATCGGTCGCGCTTGTACGTTGGATTTTAGATGGGCGCTCGGTCAAACATTCCGGAAGGGGGACATCGTTTTAAATGCCTTTGAAACCTTAATTGGGAAGCCACCCCAGACATCAGGATCCACGTTTTGGGACTTCGGCCGTGCAAGCTTCTTTCATGAAGGCCTCGTACCCTGGTACGGTGACACAATAAAGGTCGACCAGGAGTGGCTTGACACGATGTCTACTTGGTCCGTTCTGAGCAATGATGCTGGAGGCTACAATATGAGTGGGTTTGAAGCTCTGCTCGATGCGACGGTGGTAGCGAGTCCTGACCATACCATGTTTCTGGGACCTGAGAGCACATATGACTCACTGGTGACGCTCGAGTAAGTGCCAATATATTTGCTGTATATTGCTTTACCTTGGTGCTTAAAAATTCTCCCCCATCATCTATTCTGACTCATTTTCTTCTAGGTACATAACATCGGTCTATTTTGTCGATGCCATTTCCCGAACAGGCTGGGACCTGTCACTCCTGTACGCCAACAATACGATAATCAACCCCATCCTTCAGCAAGGGTCAACAGAGAATCAAAAGATCCTCAACGGCGGCCCTGTGTTTTCACGCCCCACCAATATTCCTTACAGCGTCGTTAATGCAAACTGGCACACCTATGGCGCTGCATGGACACTGCAAGACTCTGGTCAATGGATATCGGTTGCGATTCTCAGTGTGCATATGGTCATTGCCATCGTTCACAGTCTAATCCTTGTAGTGAGACGTCGATCTGTGGAAACATGGGACTCGATAGAAGAGCTGATAGTACTTGCTTGGAACTCGATGCCAACAAGGCGGAATGATGAATTGAGGAATTGTGCAAGCGGCATTCTCAGGACTAAGACCCTAGAAAGTAAGGTCCGAGTCGTAGCCATCGAGGAGCAAGGGTTGGGAAGTCGTGTTGAACTGGTTGTGGTCGACGAGATGGCAAGGAACAAAGACGGAAGATCGGTAGACACGATTAAGCCTGGTGAGGCGTACATTTGATCAATCTAGAGAGTATTGGCATACCTTTAATGTTCGTAGTGAGAGGATTATCGTGCAAAACAGTGACCCCATCTTCCAACTTTGTGTTCTATTCTTGGAGATGACTAGTCCGTGCGAGAAGTTATTACTTAGCACAAAGACCACAACTACACAATCAAGAGACGAAAGGCCACACAGGAAGCATACTTGTATTGTGCATTCCAAAAGTGTTGTAATTCCTTGGCACGACCCAAAAATTGCTGTGCTGGCGGAACGGAATTGCTGTAAGGATATAGAATGGCCATTTACTACTGTTTTCAGCGTTCTTGATCGAAACAGCATGCAAGAGCAATTTCAGACCTAGTAGGAATGTCATCATATTGTCAAAAACCAATGGCAGGGAAAGGGGATTGGGATAATTGCCTCTTCAGAGTTTTCTAGAGGCACCCAATGTATCTCAGAGTACCCCATCTGCAGAATACGGCGTTATACAACGGATGTGCAAGGTTTACCGACCTTGTGACCCGAAAAGTACATGCCGTATCCAAGAAGCAACAAGAAGCTTTCTCTGCTCTATGCAATAATTACACAGGGCTGAACAGCTTTTGGGGAACTGCTTGACACAACACGGTAGCGGGCAGATTGCTTGTTGAGAGACATAGGAGTGGATATTAGTATATAAATGGGCCAATTACTGTATATAACATTAGGGTAGTGGTGAAGTTCTCATATCTCGGTAAAGTAGCACGCAAAATAAATAGATGGCACTTGGAAAAGTTGTCTCCTTCGCACGGCCGTCAGCAACAGCATGGAACTCGGGCCACTGTGGCATTCTGTCTCTATCTCGGTCAAATGTATGCTTCAGCTGCCTGCTGAAACAGATTTCCCAGGAATCCTCCTCAGGTTTCTGTTAATTGGTCCATCTTGGCATGACAGATAGTGATGTGGAACTTGAAGCCGAACTTGCCCGTCGGGCTTGTTAAATTGCGGTGTAGCTCCGCAAGATGCCTCATAAGGCAGACTGGATCCGGTGGCTGTTGCCTAATTTCCGCGAAACTGCTATAATAGAAAGTAGACAGTAGCGATGCCTTCCTTCTTGTACAGTCCCCATGTGAAAGGCTTCGCGGTGAACGAAGGTAGAACATTCTATCTGGCTGCATCAGCTTCGTATTGGCCCTCGCTCATTGCACAGTCGTTTTCTCCTGTTGTGACCTACCCTCGTTATTCCTTGTGATAAGACAGAATTAATCTGGCAAAACTTTAGGAAATATATTGCTGTTGATGAATCAGGCAGTCGCGCAACAATCCTAGCAGGCATTGATCACATAGAGGAGCCATAAGAATTGATCGGAACGACTTTTGTGCAAGGCAGTGCTTGTGTGCCAGTGGTAAGCATTCTATAAGTGTGAAGACTTGATAAGGTTCTCACCTTGCAATACCGCATCATCTAGCTCAAGGTCGCTGGTACATTATGGTTGTTGCACTGCCCCAGACATGTTATGCGGAGCAAGTGGTTATTGAGTTATTACAAACACTGCAGTTGAACTATCGCTTATCTTCTTCCCATACACTAGGCTGAAACGATTCCCTGTTAGAACTAGAATTGGCCCATCTTTTCGGCCAATCCAGAGAAACCGTGCTGTGCAACTTTCCGGCCAGCAAGCTCGTTTGCAAAACTCAAAGTTTTGACCATATTTTGATTCTGAGTATAGAACAATCCAAACAATACTCCTGCGATAAAAGTATCGCCTGCACCGATTGTACTGCCACCTATTAGTCCTGACGTTTCGCATGTGAACAATTACATGCGTACTCTACCACGTGTCCGCTATGAGGCAGGTACGCCGGCACTTGTACGATGCTTTTGTCGCTTGCTCGGAGAGCTGCAGCGCCTCCAACTCCCCAGGTACAAAAAAGAAACGACCTACACAACGATCCATGGTCAGTAATCATGACTCTTATATGAGATTACCAGTGCCTACGCTTTTGGAGTCAATATCGTTTGTCGTTGCAGGCAGTCGGTAGCGCTTTGATATCCTTGAGCCTGTGCATCGATCGCTGTAAGCACAAATCTGCAGTCGAAGAATCCGCTTACCTGTGCCCAGCTTTTGGAGTAGAAGACCACATCTGCCTTTTGTGCCAGTCTCTGAAGACCTTCACGGTTAGGTTTCTCTACTTCAACGCTGATGGTAGCTTTGGGATCACGAATCCGAATGCAATCAATACACTCTGCAGTGACATCTGGTATACGTCCTTCAAAATGGTAGATCGAATCAGGCTGGTTCGCAAACTTGGAGATCGCTTGCTCAAACTCAGACGTGTTCATTTCCTCTAGATCGCTGTAATTCACCAGCGTTCGGCTGTCCGTTGCGAGACTCTTGAAGATGTAACTCGAAGGCGCTACCGAAGAAGTTTTCCGATAGAAGCAGTGTGCGAAGTCGACATGAGGTCCCAGCGATGCCCGAATCTCTTCGGTTGCTGGAGATGAACGGTTTGGCAAAACAGCTAGTAAGATTAGAGGCGCGGAAATGCTTTTCCATCGCAACACTTGTTGCAGAACTTCCAGGGTATTAGGCACGTTGCCACCTCGACGCTTCTCAAGTTGAGAAGCACGAAGCTTCTCGTCTTCAGCAGGATAGTATTCGACGCTAGATATGAGTCAACACACAGGCGAAAGGTTTATCAATTTTCACAACGAACGTAAGAATTGTATCAAGATAGCACGCTCCGACAGCGATCAGAGTTGCCATTCAAGTCAGCTGAAGACGAGTGGACACTCTCGGCTAAGTATAACATCCAGAAAGCAGTGATTGCTTGCTTATTTCAGAGTGCTTCTCGATACCCGATTCATTAAACTGAAAACACCTAGGCTATTGAGAGGCTGTTAAGTACAGGTCGTGAGGATCAGACTTAAAAGAGTTGAATTATTATGGGCGTAGATTGAACCACGGTATGTGTGGTACACTATTTGACTGTAACCATTAGCTGCAGCACGAAAGTATGCTTGCAAGGCACTTCATTAAACGTTAATGATAGAGGCCAGCCACTCTGTATCAGGCACGGAGGCCTGCAGTAGCTGGAAAGTATCCCCTGCGTCACTGAACGAGCACACATCCTTGTTGAGAGAATAAGTCAAGAAAGAATGAAGAAATGGCTCTGTTCATCTCCAAAAGGGGCAGCGCACACAGATGTACGTAAAAATTCGCCTTACTGCACAGGGAAATTAGCTGCGAAATTGCAGTAGAAATTGTCCAATCAAAAGTAGGCAAAACGTAGGGATTACACGTATGAACACTCCTGGCATTCGACAGAATAGCACTCCCGCGACTTAATTATAGAAGAATTTACTTTTCTACGGACCTTTTGTAGATCTTTAAACAAACCTCTATCCCAAGGTAACCTTTGGGGAATTGAGTTTGGACGACTTGTTGTCAGACCCGCGACTCTGTTCATGCCGAATCGATATATCTGATTCTCTCAGACTACTCTCCCTTGCACTGGCTTTCATGTTCCCCCTACCTACATCCCTGGCTGTCACACAAGGTGGGTCACACCTAAGCCAAGCAAAGCATGAATCATGGGCTCTTGAAAACAGTAGGCACTACTCAGGGCACACTGGCCTAGCCCTTATTGTCGAGCGATTGACCACTTTTCTTGCGACTACAACGGACTATTAATACGTTGACGACACATCGAAATTGTGAACTTCAAAATCCGTTTTGAGTTATTATGAGAGCTATGCAAGTCTATTCTCACAGTATATATTAACATTCCTCTTATCAATCATAGTCGTATACTGTTATAGAAGGCTAAGAACTTAAGTTATTATAGATATAGAAAGTATCTTAAGAAGAGGATGTAAGAAGAGGACGTCGGAAGAGGATGTAAGAAAAGAATGTGAGAAGAGGGTATCTCAAGAGGATATCTCACGAGGGTATCCTAAGACGGTATCTCAAGACGGTAAGGCCCTCAAACAGAATTATATGACCCTGTTGCCGGCTTAAAACTGATTTTGAGATTCAAAATTTTGATGTGTCGTCAACCCAATAATAGTCCGCCGTATGCGACAAAGAATAGCCAGACACCTGCATCGGGCCGAAAGCTAGCAAGAGCTTACCAACAGCCAACCTTTCAAGGAGGCAGATAAGGCATGTTAATCGAGCTCCGGGACGAAGGAAAATAAGCAGCAAAACCCGTGGAAGAGCTCTCTTGAGGACTTCACGCATCATGTCTGTCCTTGTCGGCGAAGCGCCTGATAAATTCCTCCTTATTATCGATAGCTTTCGGAACCATGGGGATAAGGCGCTCGATCCACCGCCGTTATCGTTGGCCAAAGAGATGCGCCATGACTTGAAATATGTCGTCTGTTGGATCCTGGTCAACCCGAAATTGCAGAAGGTCCATTAGAGCATAGGCCAAAGCTGCCCTGGTATAGTCGGTGGAGGTGGTTCTGGCCTTGAGGGCTAAAACGGTGGCAGAGAAAAGCTCCAGACGACTGAGGGTGATAGATCGTTCGAAATGCTCCGCAAGGTTGCGGCCTGGGGCTTCTTCCCGCCTTCATACGCTTCCTCCCACAACTCGCTGGTGAGCTCAACCTTGTTTATAAGCCTAATATCACACCCGATGTCGCACCCGAGCCATGTGCAGACGTGAAGTTTGCCCGGAGCAGCAATCCTTCCGGTAGCGTCCACATGCTACCATCCCAGTCCGATTTCCGCTTGGACAGATCGTCCGGTAGGAGTAAAGCAACAAACTTCGACCTTCGAAAAACATCACACATTCGGTTGAAATCTGCAGTTGATAGATCCTGGTCTTCAGCCGAGGCATTGCATTTCGTGTCATGTGAAATAAGCTCTGAGACCCTCCTTTTCACAGATAGACTGAGCCATAATACTAACCTTATCTTCCGTCTGCCCCTGAAAAGAGTCCTGGTGGTAGCTGCTAAAGATGTAATGCAGGTGTTTCGGTGGATTCTCATCGAGCTCCCATCTTGGCGAACGAGGAGCCGACGAGGTCGATATAGACGTTGTTTCGAGGATATCTCCGTAGGCTTTTCATACCTTTTACAGTCTTCTTCTCGCGTATCCAGAGGTTTGATTGCATGCTTCGGACACTTCCAATGGTAGGCAGGGTAGCTCTGTGAGATGCTTCGAACTCATTCATTTTCCTAGGGGGAATTCGCTCCTGGTAGAGCTAATAAAGCTTGCAGAGGAACTGCGACAAGTACCTGTCTGAAGAAAGAGTGCATTCTGCCGAGGGAGGACTCAAGCTACTACTGAGCCATGCGAAGTGCTAGCGGGACTGTGCCTTTGATCTCAGTGGCAGAATAACCATTTAGGCACTGGTGGCATCCAGATAATGGTTTTTCTGAGAGGTGGCCGGAATTTCGCTTGGTCTGGATCCAGCTGCATTTCAAGCAATTCTCTAAGACCCTAGGGTGATGTTACGAGGTGATACTCATGTGGAGTATTGTGTGCTGGCGGGTGGAGTTTCGGCCCTCCATAGCATGTACATATTCGCATGCGAAGTCAACAAATGCCAGAATATCACTCAAATAAAGCGCAGAGCACATCTACCGGCATCTAGCTATACTTCCCTTGCATCACGGAAACACATAATACAATTCCTCGGCAGAATCATAGCAGCATAATGTAAGCGTTTGAAATGCTGAATTGCGGGAGAGGTTGCTCTATCCCCTCCGTCCCTGAACAGGGGTGTAGTTTGTGCCTATTAGCGCTGTCGATCATTATGAGGGGTCCAAAAACGTCAACAAACGTCTATTTTCGGCGAATTGAGACTGTTCTATCTAGCTATTGGCCTCAATTGAGCTGTGATACTGTTGCCAGCAGTCTCCTTTGATACAGAGCCAAATCTGGCATTTACTGCATCTTTGATGAGTGAAGGAGCCTCCTAAAATACCCTCGTTGGCGCCGTTGGTAGTTAATTCTGTAATGTCGGTTCCAAATTTGCGTTTATTTGACCGTTTACGCGAACAGCCTGATGAATGACGCTTTCCCCATTCGCACCAGCCACGCTGTTTGAGTTGTATAGGTTTATGGTGGCGCCGAAATACTGTTGTGGGTTGAGAATGGGATTGTTCTTTCTTCTTCTCTTTTTGCTCCTTCTTCTTTGAATTATTTGAATATAGTAATTGATCGTACAAGGCGCTCATAAAGATCTTATGGCTATCGTGATTCTGCACGTTATTACTCCATTTCTATAGTAAATAAGCGTTAGTATAAGCAACGTCAATAAGGAAGAAAAACAAGGGCTACCACGTTCAATAGTTCTGCTTTCTGTGGCATGTAAAGCCCGCGCGTAGTTGATTGGCTTGATCCACGCCCTTTATATGATGGTTATAGTCATTAATAGCCATTAGAATAAAGAGCTTTTTAAACAGTTAACCATCAAAAACAGGTAGTAAAATTCGTTGATTTTCAGACGTTATTTTTGGGCATCTTCGCGTACGTTAAACCTTATCCTTAGCCCTGTGGAGGCTATAAGCAGTCAAAATAGCGCTGACGGCCTTATTATCCTGCTAGACGAAGCAGAGAGTGTTGTTGTCAATGACCTCTGCTACAGTAGAGTCCTATAGTAGCTTATTTTTCTCAAAATAGCTTTGAAGATGTAAAGGAAATCCATCAGCCTTTTTGCGCGTTATACCCATGCAATAAACCCCTAGAGCTAAAAGGCACTGTGCAACAGGCAGATTTAGAAACAGATTATCCAAATAGATACAGAATTTGAGCTGTTTTGGAAGCTATTCTGCAAGACGTAAAACAAGCGCAAATGTAAGTGCTAAATCCTCTATATATGTTTCGCCTGCAGAGCGCAGGCGCAGCCAGCTTGTTTTTCTACCCTTTTCAAGCGTTTCAACGCCCTCTATTCGAGAATGAAATAGCCAGCTCCAAATATAGCCATGATCGCTAATACACCACAGTTTATAGCCGGTATCAATAGGCTTGTTCTTTAGCTTGATTATATCTCTTGAACGGCCTACAAAGGCGACTATAGCTTCATCAATAGCGATATGAGAGGAGGGATAATACTCTTGAACGGCCTGCAAAGGCGACCATAGCTTCATCAATAGCGATATGAGAGGAGGGATAATAGGCATCTCGACAGGCATTTCGAATGAGGTCAGCTATGTGTTGAATTCGATAGAACCAGGGTGCGTTTGGAGCAGGAGGAGCACTATTTGTGCTAAAATAACGATGAATGAGTTCGAATCGATCTCGACTCATAAATTGACCAAGATTGTGAATTTTCCAGTAGTCCGTTCGTACTATCAATGGGTACAAGCCAAAATGGAGATTTATGCCCAGAAATACATGTATTTCTGCCGGTGTAGTAGGTACCCAGTGACATTTAGACGGGAGAGAAAGAGGAGGATATAAAGGATCCTGAAGTTGAGATTCGGCGTATAAATTAGTCTCTTTAAAGAGGATTTCTACTACGAAATCGCTAAAAAAGAGCTTAAAAAAGCCCAATTCTGATAAACCTGTGTATCGTGAAGCTCCAGTTCGATTTTGAACGTAATTGGCCTCAAAATGAGGGAGTTCTGTTGAAATGAGTGTTGGTGGTTCATTTGCGCATTCTGGCGCAGGTGCTATCACTGCCAAGGCTTGATCGACATTATTTCGATCAACTTTTTTTGGGTCAATTCTGCATCTTTTTCGCTGGTTGTTGTTTTGTAGTAATTGCGGAGGTGAGTTATCTCTGTATCTCAGTGGAATTTGTGTATCTCGACGTGGTCGTAGCATTGGAGGTGGTTGAAAATTCATTTTAAAACCAGCTGCGGAAAGCTATGGCGATCAAATGCGGCTCAAAAACCTTATTTTACGCCAAGTACGCTAATAGGCACACCCAGGGACGGAGGGGATAATGGTGTGATTGCTGAAATTACACCCTACTTATTCCTAATTTAGCAAAGGTCTTGCTGCTTGGATGAGACAGATGTGTTTCAGGTTAACCAATTAAATCTGCAGAAGAAGTGCCGAAATCATAAGGCGTCAGGCCTGGATGAGCGAATGGGAACATGCCGCTTAAAGCCTCATGCAATGGATTTGTCAGCAGCCCTTCCGGGCTCTCCATTGGCCAAGCCCAACCACAATCCTTTTTACGCTTTGCTTAGACTCTTCATCATGTTGGCCGAGAACGTAGTTTTGCATCGATCAGGCAGGACGGTTCCATGTATGACTGAAGACATGATAAAGCGGCGCATGCAAGTTGAAGATAACCACATCGATGGCGAGTCATCACAGTATTTAACATTGTCTTATTCCTCTGACATGCACAAACATGTTCTTTCTGCACTTGTCGGTTTCTTTTTGATTTCTCTCGGTTTCTCTTGCTAGAATATAAGCTCTCCTATCCGCTCCAACGTCTAATCTGGTCCGCCATTCAATCCAACCTAAGCCCAAATGGAATTCCTTGTTTCCTCTTTCCTTAGCCTTCCGTCCGACATTGGAATCAACTATCTAGAAGCCTTTCCCAAAGCTCAGCACGGTACCGCCAAAGCCGCCCCAACAATCCTCCTTCTCCACGGGTTTCCCACTGCTTCGAGCCAGTTCTCCCGCTTAATTCCTCTTATAACAGATCAAGGCTACCACGTCCTCGCCCCGGACTTACCCGGCTTCGGCTTCACCTCCGTCTCTCCAAACTACACCTACACCTTTGCCAACCTTGCCGTCACCATCTCCTCTTTCCTGGCCGCCAAAAATATCTCCGAGGTAGCCGCAACCTACATCTTCGACTATGGGGCGCCGGTGGCATTTCGTCTCTTCACCAAGCACAATCTCAAAACCAAAGCCATCATCTCCCAAAATGGTAACGACCTAATAACCAAGGCCTAGGGGCTTTCTGGGATCCTTTCCGCGAGTTCTGGACCAGCAATAACTCAGCCTCCATCCGCGAAGAGCTGCGTTCGGCCCTGCTTACCTATGATCCTACAAAATGGCAATATACAAACGGCGAAACCCCGGATCGCGTTAACAAGATTAATGCTGCTGCAACATATGAGCGCGACTATAACCTCCTCCTCCGCCCTGGCAACCAGGACATCCAACTGGATCTCTTCTATGACTACCGCACGAACGTCAAGTTGTATCCTGAGTGGCAGGCATGGTTGGGTAGGCAGAAGCTCCCACTTCTGGCCATATGGGGCAAGAATGACGAGATCTTTATCTCTCCTGGGGCGGAAGCGTTCAAGCAGGACTTGCCGGATGCAGTGGTGAAGTTTGTGGATGGCGGACATTTTGCCTCAATCACGTGGGCAGAGGAGATTGCAGCGGAGATAGGTAAATTTCTGAAGGATGCTGAGGTTTGATGGATATAACGGAGGTTTGAGGTGCCAACATTATTGTTTGTGATGTCAAAGGAATTCTCTGGTAGCAGATACCAGGTCGGCAACTTTTCGTCCTGCAACGGGCACAATCACCAATTGTCCCGCGCACTGGTGTGAAATTTGCGATTTATCTAATTTGGCTAATGAATTATCTAACAAAGATGTTATTGCACCAATATCGCCTGGATTGTACCATGACGCCTTACTACGTTATTATGCTTACTAAAGTTTGCACCATCAGAGACTATAGAATGAACATTAGGAGAGCTAGGATTAATTGTAGCTATATGCCCAGGTGATTCTTATATTTGAGTAGCCCTGGTTCTTCCGGAAACTGGATCATGGCTCCAACCACTGCTTCTCATGGCTCCAACGAGCACAGAAAACTCAGCTAACCTTCCACTCGCTCAGAAAAGCTCTGGGCCAATTAAGAGGATGACGGTCAAGATATTGGCGATGATAATAATCCCGATCATGAAAAGCCTTCTCTCGGGAAATATGCTAAACGACATATATATCTTAGGAAAGAGATTTCTCCATCCGCGGCTTCTCACGAGTCGGATAAACACCGAAAGCCCAGGCAATATTCCACTCGCCCAGAGAAGCCGTGGGCTAACAAAGAGAACGATCATTATGATGATGACCATGACGACAAGCTCGATGAGATGATGCTCTCCAAGACAATGACTATACCCATGTCGATAACAATTTCGATTATCACGACGACAATCCCGATGACGATGACAATTTTAATCACGACGACAATCTTGAGAACATTGATTGTCTCAACAACGAACAACCAGTTTAACCAGTTTCATCACCTCAACATGCATAGGATATCAATATCTTGCAGAAAACCTCGAGCTGTCAGATTAAGAGTGCGTCCCTTCGTGCGCAGTCATCTATAGAGAGTTCAGCAAAGGCCAGAGAGGAGAGCAACAGACATCAAAGCTTTGAAGAAACCACTTCAGTTGTTGGCAGGGAATATCCTAAAGTGAATATTGTTGACCACGTTCTAAAAACGTCCAGTGCTGATGACTTACTTCGACCTTGCCATGACAAATAGGTTTTCTTGTCTCTGCTGTCACTCATGGCGTACATTCTCCATGTCCATGTTCTTCTAGATGATTTTTATTAAGCTCATGGAAACTTGAAAGCAACAGTGCCGGAGCGCGGCGTAGTTTTCTTTCGTGTGCAGAACAATCTCTCAAACGAGCTTCAAAAGACCTTCACTCAAAGGCTTGGAGAACTCACCAGCAGCCCGCAACATTAACACTTCACACTCATTCGGTCTTGAACTACCCCGCTGAGTTCGGTGTTGCCGATGATCAGGTCTCGAGCATATCGTCACCGCAGCGTAAAAGTTCTACGGTGAAGATGAGCCTACCACACGTTAAAGGGTGTTCAGCACAATGCATTCAGATATCCAGATTGAAGCGTGCCCTGCCCACTATAAATCTCTACGCCTGACACCGCTACCCAGCACGGGCGGCGATGCTCTCTGGGCGAGTGGTTATGATATTTATGATTGTTTTTGCCAGCTTACCAAAGATTCTTTGACGACTGTCGTCAACTTTTATAGGTGATGAATGCCTTCGAGCTGTCAGGGAGGGACATACGACGCTGTACACTGAGCCTAGAGAATTTTCAGATAATTTGGGTGGTGAGCTGACTGCGATGCATCCCCTTGTGCGAACCAATCCTGTGACAGGCTGGAAAAGCATCTTTGCACGGGGGAGCTTTCCCAAAGTCATCAATGAATTGACAAAGAACGGGAGCCAGGAACTGATCAAGAGACGTACACATGTGATTCTGGAGAATCAAATATTCAGGTAAGATTTGAGTGGAGGATTGAGAATGATATCCACGAGCACCAAACGTAAGCCTATCATGAGCAGGAGAAGCATGCTGACGATGTTGCTTGTAGCAATCTGGGCCAACCGCAGTGTGTTCCATATTTCCACTTTCGAATATGATGGGCTTGGTGAGCGCTTCGGGAATCGAGTTGTGGGTTTTGGAGAGAGACTCTACTTTGACACTATAGCAAGTCGGAAGCCCAGGCGCGATCTGAGGAACATGCAACAGCTTAATTGTCAGTCTAATGGAAACTTGTGCAATTTCCCGAAGTTGTTAAAGACCTAAATCTGTCCCTTTTTATGTTCCAGTCACACAAATAGCCGAGACAATCTAGACTCTGCCTTTAACCATAAAACAGTGCTGATCATCTGTGACCAGATACATTGTTTTGCTCCTTCTCCTCGAATGCATATGTGAGGCGTTGGTCTGGTCATGTCAAATTGTGCGATAGCCCGTCCGGCCAGACTCAAGTTTAGAAGTGTATACACGCCACTCCTTACCACAACTAGCCGGACAAGGAGCTCTCTTGCAGGTCATGAGATAAGATGAAGACACAATACCATTTCGACATTGCGTGCTTTTACAAGAGAAGAGTGGTTGAATCGCATAATGCAGCCTAAGTCAGAATTCAGGTCCTGACGATGACATGAAAGCCGAGTCTGGTGAAAGAACTCGACACAAGAAGAAAGCGCAGCCGCTACATGGATCAGTAGAACTGTTTTCTGTCTCCATTCAGGATTTTTCTGTCCGATCAGTCGGTCTAGGCCCTCACGAAGTCAGTAAGGACACATCAACTAAAACTGGTTCGAAATCCTTTTGTGGAGTGGTTGATGTGTCCCTCTTCTCACGGCACATCGAACCACTGTATTTTTCACCAATAATTGCGTATCAATTTCAAGCCAAGTCCAGACTTCCGAGCAATGTTCTTGTGCTCGATTAGTGCACGAGCCGCTCATTACAAGCGCATACAAGGACCTTCGCGTCAGCAATACGATATCACCGGCGTGTTTATTGATATCAAACCTACGGTTGATGATCTACGAATCCGAAACCTGTTGGATATGATGGTCAATCTGGAATGACAGTAGTTAATGCTAAAGCCAGACGTGGTTAGTGCGACAGTTATGTCAGCACCCTTATCTTGAACTCCGTCTGCGAGTTTCTTTCATGATATTGCGTGCTTTCTTCCAAAATGACGGGCAAGAGGCGTGGGGGAGATGTGCCGCATTCGAGCTTTTCAGCGGCGTCCACTCGCGAGCGATATCGGTATCTTTGACTTGATGATCCTCCAAAAGAAGCTGCTTGACGGCGCAAGGTGAACTAGTCTACCATTGAATGTGTTAGCCCTCATGCATGGGAAAGCCTGCTCGAAACGATAGCTAAACACCCCAAGATTAGAGGCAATGGAGCATCACTCGCAAGATCTCGCCATATGAATTGGCCCTTCCATTTAGCTGACTTCTCAAGATCACTCGTGCGACTCGGGGCAGCCGGTGGCACTGGCTTTCTAGCCAGAAGAGGGCTCGGAGAGCCATCGCACCATATGCTTCGGCTTTGATAGCCAAAACTGGCAAAAATCATCGCGGATCGTCGTTCAAGAGCATGGCAAAACGGTCACTTCAGGATATGCTTGTGATATTGGGAATCAAGAAAGCTCCATATAGCTCGAAACCTTGATAGGCCAGAACTTTCACGTCCACACGCTTGGGCTACATCCAGTCATGAAGTCTACAGTATTGATAAGCCATCAGGATAGCGCGGAGCGCGAGCTGCTTCTATATAAGTGTGACACTCAGAACGTGCAGAGCGAAACTGACCAACACCACGCAAATCAGATCCTGACAGACGTTCATCATCCAGCATGGACAAGTCTGCAATCATCGAAGCGCCCCTGGAGTCCGCTTACAGCAACGACAGGGCTCCTGGGCAGGTACAGTCACCCCCTTGGTGGAAGATTGGCGGAAAGGACTACAGCTATGTTAGCATAGATGGAGACGAAACTGTGGTGACCAGTCCGCCATCATCATCTGAGGAGTCTCTCGATGACACATTGGTGAGGAAGAGAAACAGCGTCTTTCAATCTCCAGAAGCTATTGAAATCTACAAGCCCGACGAGAGTTATGAAGGCTTTCATCGCTTTGACCCGACCTTTGTATGGACTAAGGAAGAAGAGAAAGCCTTGATCAAACGGGTAAGGCCTTCTGAAGACCAAGTACACTCCACTGACATCTTAAACAGCTGGATTGGAGAATTGCCGCTGCTGCGTGTTTGATGTTCTTCGCATTGCAACTCGACAGAGGCAACATTGCTCAGGCACTTTCCGATAATATGCTACCCGACCTTGGCCTAACCACGAACGACTACAACAACGGCATGACCATTTTCTACTGCTCGTTTCTGTTTGCTGAGCTGCCATCCCAGTTGGTCTCGAAGAAGCTCGGCCCTGATGTGTGGATTCCAATTCAGATGGTTTCTTGGTCGATCGTCGCTGCCGCTCAAGCAGCATTGACAGGCAGATCCAGCTTCTATATTTGTCGCTTTCTCCTAGGTCTGATCGAAGGAGGGTTTATCCCTGACACTATCTTGTACTTGAGCTACTTCTACAAGCACTCCGAGCTACCAAGACGACTGAGCTGGTTTTGGACCTCATACCAATCGACGCAGATCATTAGTGCTTTCCTGGGATACGGTATTCTGCACCTCCGCGGCAAAGGCGCCTTGAATGAAGGATGGCGATATCTCTTCGCTATTGAAGGAACTCTTACTGGCCTGATTGGTATCTGGACATGGCTATATCTTCCTGCGTCCCCAACACAAACTGCTCGATCTGGTCTGAAGGGCCTTTTCCGTCCCAAGCAAGGATGGTTCACTGAACGTGAGGAGACGATCATGGTAACCCGCATTCTGCGAGATGATCCGGGTAAGGCCAGCATGCACAATAGACAGGGTCTCGGCTGGGGTCTCTTTAAGAAAGCTCTTACGGACTACGACTTGTGGCCGATCTACCTCCTTGGTTTGACTTGGTTGATCCCGATGACTCCACCACACGCTTACTTGACACTAACCTGTAAGGCGCTCGGCTTCGACACTTTCGAGACAAACCTTCTCACCATTCCCGCTTACACTCTATACATCCTGCAGCTGCTGTTCTGGACTTGGTATTCCGAGAAGCTGAACCAACGATTCCTCGTCGGCCTGATATCACAAATCTGGTCCCTGCCACTCCTGATCGCACTCGTGACCTTGCCACCCACGTTTCCCAATTCCAACTGGATCAAGTGGCTTCTCTCTACTTTGCTCATCGGCCATCCTTATCCACACGCTATCATCGTGGCGTTGACTTCGAGAAACTCGGGGTCTGTGGAAACGAGAACTGTGGGCTCCTCCCTATACAACATGTCGGTGCAAGCGTCCAACATCATCTCCTCACAGATTTATCGTGCGGACGATAGCCCGTACTACTACCGCGGAAATAAGGTGCTGTTGGGAATACTGGCATACAACGTAGTCCTGTTCATCGGTGCCAAGGCTTATTACACGCTTCAGAACATCCGACGAGACAGGATCTGGAACTCGATGAGCAGGGAAGGAAGGGTCCATTACCTCCTCACTACCAAAGACAAGGGCAACAAGAGACTGGATTTTAGATTTGGCTCGTAGATGCGCTTGGCGGGCGGAATTGAAGAAAGGAATTGAAGGAATGTGGCTCTGGCGACGATTTATAGCATGGTGGATGATGGCACGAGGCACGATGTTCGGGTGACAAGGACAGAGTACACACTATATTTCTCATTTGCACTATCAGTGATTTCAGACTCTGCATTGTATTTGTTAGCTAGTTCTATATTTCTCGACTACAATTATATCTATTTGAGCCGCGTTGCTATATCCAACCGTTCAATTGAGCCGGCTTTCTCGGAGGGTGATGCCAGCAAACAAGCCCAGCAAAGCATAGACCAAGGAAGCCCCTAAGCCAAATCAGCGGAATAGAGAAAAGGAATGGAAGTTACGGGATTTACCAAAGGTCCAGGTAAGACTGTTGATGTATGCTCGCACAACAATCGCTTCAATGTGAGCGGGTAGCTGTCGAATCGCTCTGACGCTAGATATTGCGAGCTCAATGATCTGCAACATGGTCAGCAGAGGTGTCGCGCCAGTCTAACATAGAATTCGAACTTCTGCTTTGCGTTTCACGCCCTCGAGCAAAACGTCCAACATCCCCTTCAGCTGAGCATGCAAGATCGTCGTGGCAGATTGGATGCCGATCAACAGAAACAGGTTTTGCGCAAGATAGAGCGTGGTGCCGGCAATCGCCATGTCCTCCGGATCGAGGCTTGCTGCCAGATGGATAAAGGTAGTAGACTGGATCGCACCCGATCCGAACCCACCGCAGAATATGTATAGAGTTTCCGCCCAATTCGAACTTCCGCGCCATCGGATTGTTACAAGCGTGTATCCGAGACAGGCAATGGCGCTGGACAAGATTGTCAGAGGTTTGTAACGGCCTGTGCGTGAGATGATCCATCCTGATAGAAGACCGGCGGTAGCGTTGCCTACGACGGCCGGAACAAGACGGAGGCCGGCTTTCGCTACGGTGCTATGGGCCACGATCTGGTAGTACAGTGGTGTGGAGTAGAAGACACCGTACTGGGCGGCGACCTGGAAGCCAGCTAGCAGATAGGCAGTCAAGGCTGGTCGTGTTGTAAGAAGATGCAGGGGAAGAATCGGCTCTTTGGCCCAAGACTTCTCGATGACGCAAAAAATGGTTGCCATAAGTAGAAACAAGAACCCAGAGACCAGGACGTGCGAGGGTGACGACTCTCCAGCAGCAAAATCCAGGGTGATTAGGAAGGCACTTATAGCAGAAGCCATGGCAATTGCACCAATAACATCGACCCTCTTCCACTTCTGTGTCAGTGATTGCTCTTCAACATTCAGCATCGCGGATTGTCTTGTTGGCATCTTCCACATGATGAGTACGAGCCCAATTACTGCCAAAGGCACCTGGCCGTAGAAGCACCAGCGCCACCCTATCGTATCGCAGAGCCATCCACCAACTGGCCCTCCCAATGCACGGCCAGTGGTCGCTGCGACGTTGACATAGCTCCTCCAGGCTGCGACATCTCGAACAGGAACCATGTCGGCGATTATGATTGAGACTAATGCGGTCATGCCAGCGCCGCCAACTCCGGATATTGCTCGACCTGAGAGGACCTGCCAATAGGCATGACCAAAGCCGCAGACGAAACATCCCACCGCGAAGAAAGTATAGGCGACAACGAGGTTGATTTTCCGTCCGAACACATCACTCAATTTGCCGTACAAGGGTTGAGAAGCACACTGGGCGAGGACGAAGCTTGTGACGAGCCATTGTGCGTCAAACATAGCGTTGAACTCGGATGCAATTTGCTGGCTTGATGCGACGACAAGAGATCCGTCCGCGTTGGCAACAAAGACACCTACACAAAGGATTAGCTGAAAAGGTCAAGACTTGTGTCGAGACGTACCTAGTAGAGAGATAGGAACTACAACCCTGATGGCTAATGTTGAGGAAGGTTCTGAGGAAGATGTATGATCCTCATGGTAAGGCGGCAGATTTGACGACAACCGTCTTCTCAATGTCGATTCATATTCGGTCCTTCGTTTCCGATCAGAAGCGCCGTCAGGTAACAAGGCCTCTCTCTCGCCAGATTCATCCATGACTCTCTATCATCACTGAACCGTGGCTCGAACGAAAGACGTGCAACATCCTATCGCAACTGGCATTTTCGACATGGCGAGATGTAAAAAGTGCTGCTGGCATTTTTAGTGCAAATGGCAACGGTTTTATTGCAGCCTCGGGCTGTCGGTCGGAGCAGGATTTGGCGACATTTTCACGTATGTTGAACAACAGCAAAAGCTTGATAAACCACATATGCAAGCGTAGCAGCTAATTGGGGGCAGTTTTAGCACTCCTCTTTCTAGCATCCTCCACCAACCACAATATCGACATGCTTCAAATTAGATTCTGCTTGTATCAGTACGTTTTGAACCTATCTACGACTAAGCTGGTCTCGATACACCGATTTGGCTTTGCTTGGGTTGAAATAACCTCTTTTGCGTTGGGCTGTAGGGCAAAATAGTGGTTTTTTGGTTTTTGGTCGCAATCGGCAATGAATTTTTTTGATCCGGCCTCGGCCCGATGCCGGACTATGTCCTCAGTTTGAAATGAGGAGAGATGATTGATTGTGGAGGTTTCGAGTAGCTACAGCTACTAGTACTGGTATTCAATATCCCCCGTGACGCTCAGTAGTCCTAGTAGTAGTAAGTCACCTGACCTATCTTGGCACAGAGCCTTGGCAGAACACGTATGGGCCCTAGTACTACTGTAGTACTGTACTACGTAAGTGGCCTCCGAATATCACATCAGCAAGCAGTTGAATGGCGCCATAATCTTCAGCGAAAAGCCATTGCTATGCAGCGCCTGAGAATATGCACATGCTGACCTTCTACCGCCTGAGCACCGGCACATCGGCACTCAAAGAAGATCGTGACTGCTGAGGATAATTGCGCAATACCCAAGGCCGAGCATCGGATTGATAGGCATCTCCCAACCCAGGCCCAGCACACACTTGAGAGTCATCTAGACACAGAATGGACGAAAATGCTTATGACTCCGGTGATGCAGCAGACGGATCTCGACTTTCTGCATCTTGATCAAGCAGCAGAATTCGTGTATCTGCGCGCTGCTTTGGTTGCAGCGATCGATTTCATCCATTTGCCTCACCATGTTGATTCCAGCGACAGCCATCTTGTTGCTGAGCCAGGTTGGCATGAGCAATGGCGCTCGACTGCACCAGAGGCGTCCGAACACCGTGTTCATCCTTACCGATGACCAAGATCTGCATATGGACTCGCTGGCGTATATGCCTTACTTACAGAAGCATTTGGCAGACCAAGGCACAACCTTTGCGCGCCATTACTGCACTATAGCCCTGTGCTGTCCTTCGCGAGTCAACCTCTGGACTGGAAGAGCAGCGCACAACACAAATGTCACAGACGTTAATCCTCCATATGGTAGACTTGCCTCCTGAGCCTGGGGTGCCTGTCATGATTGAATAAATTCCTAACTCCGACGCAGGCGGATACCCTAAATTTGTGAGTCAAGGCTTCAACGAAGCATGGCTACCACTATGGCTCCAAGAAGCTGGCTATAACACCTATTACACTGGGAAGCTTTTCAACGCTCATACTGTTTCCAACTACGATTCGCCATTCCCATCAGGCTTTAACGGCTCTGACTTTCTTCTCGACCCCTTCACCTATGAATATCTAAATGCTTCTTTCCAGCGGAATCAGGATGCTCCAGTTAGCCACGAAGGGGAATATTCGACCGATGTCCTTGCCAGGAAAGCATACGGATTTTTGGAGGATGCCATCGCTGCAGAGCGCCCCTTTTTTCTGACCATCGCACCGATCGCTCCTCACAGCAATGTCGTATTTTCGGAGGACTGGTTCGGTAACAATGAATCTGTCCACAACATCAAGACAACTCCACCAGTACCTGCGAAACGACATGAACACCTCTTCAGTGACGCAGTGGTTCCAAGAACACCCAATTTCAATCCAGACGAGGTATTTCTTCTATTTGGTCAATTGATCGACTATGCTAACAAATTGCTCCTAGCCAAGCGGAGTGTCATGGATCTCAACCCTACCAAAGCAGAACCAGACTAACGTGGACGTCAATGATCATTTCTACCGTAATCGGCTCAGGGCTCTGCAAGCTGTGGACGAGATCATCGATGGCGTTGTCGCACGACTGTCCGACGCGCAAATCCTGGAAGACACTTACATTTTCTACTCATCCGATAACGGCTATCACATCGGTCAACACAGAATGCAGCCTGGAAAAGAATGCGGTTTCGAAACAGACATTAACATACCACTGATCGTTCGAGGTCCTGGTGTAGCCAAGGGCCAAGTCAGCCATGCTGTGACTTCTCACACTGACCTGGCTCCCACCTTCCTCACACTCGCTCATGGCGGACTGCGGGAAGACTTTGATGGCTCTCCCATTGATATCCACGGCCATAGTAAAGATGAAACCAGATTTGCAGACTTCTATCCGCGGAAAGAGCATGTAAACGTGGAGTACTGGGGCTTTGCTCTTTCAGAGGGCGAATACGACCAGAGGTTTTTCTGGAACAATACTTACAAAGCAATGAGGCTCATTGGCGAGGACTACAACGTTTACTACTCGGTCTGGTGCAGCGGGGAGCATCAACTGTATGATCTCAATGTACGTATCTTCGTTTGCACCTGCTGAACCTTACTAATATTGGGATTTAGACCGATCCCTACGAGCTCAATAACCTGTACGACGCAACAGACCATTCCGCCCAATTCTTCTTTACAAACACTGCCCACCTCCTTACCAAACAGACCACCTCATCGCATCAAACTGGCAAATCTACAAGCTTCCACCGCCTCCTCTCGCGCCTTGACGCCCTCCTCCTTGTCCTGAAATCATGTCAAGCTCGCTCTTGCACACATCCATGGGAAACGCTCCATCCATCTGGCGATGTTCAGAATCTGCACGATGCACTCGACCCGTACTTCGACAACTTCTACGAAATTGAGCAGGAGAAGGTGCACTTCACAAAATGCGAGAAGGGGTACATCGTCGAGAGCGAGGGGCCACAGTCTGCGATAAGCTTTGCAGATGTTGGGGCTAGAGGTGGGAGGCTGTGGAGCGAATTCGTATAGGGACTGGCGACGTCTCGGACAGCTTCGTGCATGGTGTTTTCCCCGGAACAACCTCGCAAGGGTCGCGGTTCCAAGATATAGCATACTGCTCTTCAAGTCGCGAGGAGAGGAATTTTAGTCTGTATTGATAAGTCGCAAGTTGGTCTCTCGCATCTACCCGAGGTAACTTATGTCCCGACCTGGGATCTTGCAGCGAGTCGCCTGAACGAAGACAGCGTCGAACCACTGTCGCAGCTCATATAGGTGAGGCTGATCAAGCAAGATCAACATCATCCCTGAAGTGTCAGCAAGTCCTAATAAGGCAATCCTGCCCAAGTGCGCCTGGATCCTAACGCAAATGCGATCCAAATTCATCGATTGCCTCAACCTCGGTGAACGGGTTCTACTACCTCCAAGTGTCAGAATACTTGAGATAGGCAAGGTAACGGAGACAGATCAACACCTGTCAGCAAACAGTTCGCAAGCCGCTCCACAGATATACCATGCTGCTTTGAGATCGGAAACTTTCGAAGATAGCCTCCCCGCTTGGACAAGGAAATTGGCGAAGCTTTGCTTGTGACAATATATTCCAACGGTACCCTAGGAATTCTCCTCTTACGACTCTAGACATTTCCTTCGAACAGTAGTTCGCCTGTCAATCAGGCTCAGAATCAAAGTCATAGACCCAGACGCTCAATATACTCTCGACCATTCAGACCGCACTGCGGCATTGAACAGTGAGACGGTCGATTAAGTTGAAAAGAAGACATCGGAAACCGGTTGTCCCTGCTGTGAGAATGCTAGTGACTCTCGCTAAAGCGTTAGCCTGATAAGTACATCAGACTGTGACAAATGCCTGATTCGATCTCTAAGTGGACTTGCCTGGCAGCTGTAGGTGATGCGCGTGACTTGGTGCCTCAGGCTATCTGCTATTGAATCAACATGATATAACAAGAGCCATGGTGACTGCAGCGATAGCGATGGGGGAAGGTTCCCATTACGTTTGGATGCTGTCGTAATACAGAGCGAATATTTGTCATATTCTACACTGGGTGTCGCTGCTGTGGTATCATCACTCTAAGTGGTTTATTCACTCAAAGCTCTGGAAGGCCGGCGCGAATCTTCGGAAATCAGAATACGAAGCGACAAGTTGCTTGCTACTCTGATCCGTTAGAGGAAATACGTAGTATATCAAAACAGAAAAGTCTCCTGCAATTATACTGATTTCAATCTCCCTTCTGTTTACAAAATCCCTGAAGATCCGAAGCTCACTCGCCCGACTTCTTGAGATCCACCCTCACCAGAGCACCAAGTAGGCGAGTCCATACTGCCACGCTAGCTTCCTCCTTGCGCATTGTCAACGTCTCTTTATCACCGATAACGACCAGCCCAGCTTTCGCCCTTGTCAGTGCCACATTCAAGCGTCTGAGATCCTTGAGAAAGCCAGTCTCGCCGTGCAGGTTGCACCGAACGGTCACATAGATCACGATGTCGGCTTCCTGGCCCTGGAATCCATCAATGCTGGATACTGTTACGCCCGGACAGAGTTTCCGCAGAAGCTCGGCTTGTCTGGTATATGGAGTAAGTATAACGATGGACTGCTTTGGATGCTCTTCCACGTTTTGGGAACCAGGCGGAACAGTGGTGCAAGCCGCCGGCGTAGAAAGCTGATGGAATACTTCTCGGCAAATATCTGCTTGACCTTTGTTGCTTTTTGATTTCTGGCCGAGGTCTTCAGGATGGGAACACTGAATGAACACGCAGCGAGATCGTTTCCAAATCCCATTCTGCATGCGTCTCGACGGCCAATTGAACAGCGACTGTGCTAGCAAGATATTATGGCAAGACGGTCCCGTCAGTAGCTTGTGCTCATAGAACTCCGCAGAAGGAAATTGGCAGATATCAGGGTGCATTCGATATTGAGTATCCAGCATTACCTTCCGCACGGCTACTTCGTTAGGGGATTTCCACAGCCTTTCGAAGAGGGAGACATCGAAATCAACCAGCTGTGAATGCTTCCCGACAGTTGCTCGAAGCTGAACGTGATCACCGACAAGAATAACACGTTCACAGCCCTTGACCAAAGGAATGAGTGAAGCAGGTTCTGTCTGCTGAGATGCCTCGTCGATGATAACATTGGCGAATTTTTCCTTGCGAAGGAGGCCAACTCCCGCCCCAACGCAGGTGGTGAAGATCAAGCGAGCTTCCTGAACTCTCTTCAACGCTTTTCGGCGAGCGGCTGGGAATTGGTTGATGTCTTTGCCTTCCAATGCATCACATGTATACTGCTTGAGGTCATCGGCGACTTTTCGCACATCGGTCGAAACGCGCACTGGGGGTATGAACGTGTTGCTGGATGCCGAAGAGGTTTCGACATATTTTCTTAGCACGTTGTCGACAGCGTTATGCGTTGGAGCGGTGATTAGTATCCTCTCGCCAGATTCCAGAGCGAGCAGACTGTGGAGCAGAGCAACGATAGTGTAGGTTTTGCCGGTACCTGGAGGTCCCCAGAGACATGTCAGCGGCCCTTGTAGGGAAGCATTCACTGCTGAATTCTGGCTATCGTTCAGTTCAGACCTATATTGGTACGGCACTTCTGGCCTTTCCGTAGACGAGGCGATCAAGGGCAGGGAAAGTAATTGCTCGTAGACTCCACAACATTCTGAGCCGTTCTCGACCAATTCTTTCAAGGCATCGAACATGGCACGGCTAGTCACAAAGGATCCACAATGCTTCAGCTCCCAAGGACAGAGATCGATATGAACTGGGGGATGACGAAGACAGCGAAATGTAACTAGCCCTGGCTCGGCTTTTTCCACAAGCGCATCGAAAGAGTCCGATCCATGGGCAATGAAGACATTTGATGGCTCACTTACTCTTTTGAATCGGACGTGGTCTCCTGCAGCCAGGCGTTCCATTTGAGGAGCATCAATCCTTCTTCGAGATTTGAGAGTGCAATCTTCACGATCAGTGTTCGTATCGTCAAATTTCCAAAGCTCTCTCCGCGCAGTTACAGCCTCGTCAGCTTCATCGCAATGATCAAGGGCAATGCCAAAGAGATTGCGGAGGAAGTACTGAGAAGTGACTGAAGAAGAACCAGTCATAAGATGCGGGCTCAGTGGCTCAAATATTTCCAGGAACAGTTCCAGACAGAGTTGTGGTGACCAGACCTGTAGGGAGATTCCCTCTACAAGGTCTTGGATAAGTGTGGTGGACAATTCAGCCAACTCACGGAGCACCGCCTCGAAAGGTCTCAAAACCAAGTCTTCCATCATATTAGTACACTGCACAAGACTTTGCAAGATCTGTGGAGCTGATCGGACCAGAAGCGGACGAAGGGCAGAAGGGAGTTCATCCCAGGGGCATATTCTTGTGAAGACTGCAGCATTGGCAGGCATGTAGACAAGGAAGGCCAACAACTCCCGGAATAGGGCTGGATCGCAGAAAGTGTTGGAGAATATCAACCCCTTTGGTATTACGTAATCGTAGATCTCGGCAGCAAGCTTAATGTCATGAGACTTGTATGCAAATTTGAGCAGGTCCGAGATGCTTGCAGTTGCTGAAGGTTCTCTTAATTTCTCAAATTGCCTGTCTCGAGCAACTCGTTGCACAAGGGTTGACTGCTCTGACCAGTCTGTATCAACTTTCGCCGGAATGCTGAATTCGCAGGGAGCTCGGTCGAAGAGAGGATGAATGTTCATAGTATCGATGCTTTCGAGCCAGAGATCTAGAGTCTGAAGAGATCTAATGTCGGTATTGCTTATCACGTAAATCTCCTGTAGATAATTAGCTGTTTTGAAGAATGTAGCATTAGATGCTTACCGCCGCGAGAATTCCTTCACGGTTGACTCGTCCAATCTGTTGCTGAAGGCCCGAACTAAACTTTCCTAATGCTATGCTAGCTCGCCAGTCGTAGTTTGTGCCTTCGACAATTGTCGTTTCTATTGCTCTAGCTCGATTTGCAGCACCTTCAATATTTTTGTATGCTTTGTCATTATTCTGCGAGCGATTCAGAAACACAAAGGTGTCCCTACGATGATTGTTGTAAAGTTCGAGCTTAGTATTGTCGAAATAAAGCCGATAGCCGACCTTGGTGCTTACCAGTCTGCGGTGGCCTGTTATGTCTGTGTGAGAATGCGGAAACGCGAACAGCCGGACAGAGTCCCCGATTAGGAAGTCATCCTCCTTAGGAATCCTTTTGGGTAGGTAGATGGCAATACTAAACCTCTCGCTAATACGGAGCACGAGCAGTTTCTTCTCAAACAATTCAAAGTATTGTCCCATCTTTTCGAAAAGGCTGCTCAGGCGGACTTCATCGGACCTGAAAACACACTTCCAGTGCAATCCTTGGTAGTTGAGCCTGTATGGCCAGAGCTCCTCGCACCTTAAGATATGTGATTGCAGAAGGTCGTTCAGGATCTGGGAGGGCGTTTCTGATTGGGGCGGTAATTCACCGAGCAGCCATAAACGCTCATCGTGACTGAGTTGCTGCAGGTCGATTAGACTGACCATGTCCCCAAAATCAACCCGATTCATCTTGCACCATCGAAAAGCGATTTTCGCAAGTTCAAATGTCGATATTGTAGCACCATCGCAAAGAGCACTTTCGAGCACTTCTACAGAATCACACTCGACGTGTTCTCTCATCTTGTTTTTGTCCTTCCTCGCCTGGGAAACATATGCCAATGCGGCCTCATGAAGAAGATCCAAAACAAATGGTTCTTGGCCTTCCAATGGCGGAGGAGGATCGTCCAGATGCTTCGGTACCGTGATCTTATTAGCGTCGACACAAAGTGAGAAAAGTCTATTGAGCTCCTGGCACTCCCTGCTAAGCGGACCGTTGTACCTTGCCCAACCCAGGAAAAGCTTCTTCACACGCCCTAGAGATGCGCTGGTATAACGAGCGAAATACTCGATTCGATCTTCACTTGTAATTGGTTTGAAGGAGGGTTTTTCTTTGCCACCGGGATATTCTGCGGGTTCGGACAAGTTGGTAGGGACAAGGTCTTTGTCCCAGCAGACGAAGACTAAAGAAGTCAGTGCCTGGCCCACCCTTGAGCCATTAACTTGCAGGTATCTCCATCTAAGTCTCCACCCGACATCATGTCAGCCGCCGGCCTCGGCCCTCTCGTCGAGAAGACGATACAATCTGAGAGATGACTGAGCTCTGGCTTGTCGACAGCCCTCAATTTCCGGAGATCCCCAGGGTGTAAGCAGGGATTCCTTGCGATAAGAACATTCACACCAGTGATTGTCCGTGGTCTTCCATCTGCATTTAGAGTCACCCGGACGAAACACTCTCCCGGTTTGAGGACGTCTTTGTGATCACACACGCCGAAGAGGAGACGTGAACTAGGAACGAGGATCCTACATTTCTGTTCGCCTCGTTTGTTGATCATCTTGCTTTGCTCCTGCGCAATGAACTTTTTCAATTGCTTTGAAATGGATTCTAGCCCGTCAATCAACAGCTTTTCTGCCAGGGCGGTCTCATTGATCGAGCACAGATATGCAAATGCCATAGTTGGATCCTTGGTTGCGTTATCCAAGGAGTGAAAGAATGACTTCTGCTTGTCGAGCAAGACCTCACTCGAAATCCCAAGAGAGTGGAGTAAGAGCGCTGTTTCGTCATTCAAATATCCGTACGTGTATGGCTTCCGGCAAGGTCAGTAGGTAGCGAGGTCTGGGAACCACCTTACCTTTGAGTGTTCCACGACGGCGAACGATAGATCTTCCGAGCCAGCAAATTTCTTCATTGACTTTCGAAATTGAAGCCAGACGGCTCCTTTCATCGCTCTGTCGAGCGTCACAACCCCTTTGTAGCCCCGATATCTAATTTGGAAGACGGATGGCAAATACTTTCGATTCCTGAAAACGATGGGCTTCTTGCGAACCAGCAACTCCGCAAATTCCAAAGAGATAAGCCCACATCCATCGGTAAATATAAAGTTGCCATCTTCGATATCAGGGATGTCCTGACACCTCTTAGGGGCCACATCAATCACTCTATCCGCCGTGGAGAAGAGAAGGCCAATCCGTTTTACCTTCTTCGCCACAGTCTTGATCTTGGCGAAGTCTCCGAGGCTTTCGACACTTCTGTCGACCTCTTCCGAAGAGCCCTTCCGTAAGAAGCACGAACGCGATTTGAGTTGACTGTTACTGTGACCGTAGAAATTATAGTGCGTTCCATTTAGTTTGATCCCCGATTTCAAGAATCTAACGAGGTAGTCTGTCGTTTCACGAGATGTTGCCGGTTGAGGAGGCGTTACACTGTTATCCTGCAAACGAAAATTTGTTATTGTGATGTGGATAAGATGATCCGGATTGATATTCGACGTCGCTCGGTTTCCTGGAATTTTAGTCCATTTCAAAGTGATTGCTTGTGAGGTTGAGTCGGAGTGTAGGTCAATTGATTTGACAAGACCACCAGGATTTCTGAGATCAGGTACATGATATGACCATGGACCATCACGTACCGTGATGGCATCCTGCAAAAGGTGTTCACGGGAGCCCGACATACTTTCTCAAGCAGAATGGTTTCAAGAAGAGTAGTGGAGTGTGGTGGAGAGGGGCTGGTGCAGCCTTGCTGCAATGACAACGAAGAACCACCAGGGATTAGCAAGCCACGCAACAGATGACCAATGCTTTTAGAAAATTCGACCACTATATTTAATTCTGGTCAAATTCGTCACTGCTTGACTGTAGCGTTCCAAGAGTATCAGAGAAGGACTGGAGTTGACGAAGATTTCAAGCAACCACCTCCGGGAGGCAATACGGGTCTCAGGGATCAGTGGTGGATAATAGACTTACGTTCAAATTCAAGACCTCGGCGTCCGAGACAATATGAATAAGCTGGCAAAGAAGAAGAACCCTACGATTTATGTTGTAGGCGCACAGTGCTCTGGCAAAACAACTCTTGCCGTCGCATTGAAGGAGCACTTTTCATCGGACCCAACTCTTCCACCTATTGCGCTTCTAACCGAGGCAGCTCGCGGCGTACTGAAACGACATAACTTTACTCGCAGCGACATCAGGGAAGACGTCAACCGTTGTATAGAATTGCAAAGACTGATCCTTGAAGCTCAGTGGACGGAGGAGCTGAAAATCTCAGAAGATTCCATGTTGATCTCTGACCGATCCGGCATGGACCCCATTGTGTACGCAGCAAAATATGCCCATCCGGGGGCGACCAAGTCACTGTTGGATTCTTCAGCATGGCGAGAGTTAAGGGACCGTATGTCGAGGTCACTCGTCATTGTCTGTGAGCCGGTCAAGAGCTGGCTGAAGGACGATGGTGTAAGATTGATGCCACTGGATTGGGAAGAATGGTCAGAAATCCATCGGTCTTTTTGTGCCCATCTAGAGGACGCCAGCATTGAGTTTTACGTCTTGTCTGCCGACAAAGCTGCCATCTCCGACCGTGTATCTTTTGTGACCGAACAATGGGCAAAGTTTGCTGGTTTGCAGTCAACAGAAACGGCAGAGACAACCAAAAGATTGAGTTCAGCATCTCACACCCTGACCCCATGACGGACATGCCAAGAGAGCACTAGATCCCTCGACACGACTTGATGAATACTGCGTTCCTCTACATCTCAGAAGTCTCATGCGAATGCTATATATTCTTCTTTTCTATAGATGGCTTTGATTACTCTAGTAGCTGCAGGTCATCGATATGTTTCTCAGCCACCTTGAGATTTTCATCCTGAACCAGCGCCGCAGACGAATTCCTGCCCCTCAGGCTCTCTGGGATCACAGATTTGATTCCATGTCAATTTATCGCAGCACTACCAGTGTCAAGACTTAGTATCTCGAATATCACACTTACCTGAGTCGCCACCTTCAGCTTGCCGCTGTTATGTATCTGTTCTTCTCGAACTCGAGCCCCATTGAAAATTCCTCCCGTTATCGAAATATCTGCAATCCTGATTTCCTACGCCTGGTGAAACATCGTCAATCGGCACTTCTTGCTTTAGTACGGCCTCTCCAGACAAAATCGCAAGCAGGATTCATCCCTAATACGGCTGACGAAAGGTGTCTGCTGCATTACAAGCTGTGAAGAATGGATGTCGAACACGCAACTTCTGGTGCAGATACCTACAGTATCGATTATCGTTAGGCGACATCCTGGCATGGAAACCAAATACACTGAATCTCAAAGCAAACAGTGGAGAGAAGACTCTCACAACGAGCAAGATGCAAGGAAGTAATCACGTGTCCGAGAGAACGCTGGAATGGTGGTGGCGGAACATGCCCTCATAGACCTTACTTGCCTACCTTCAGACGGTTGCGACTGAACCAATGAGCTACAAAAGCACACGACTCGCTTCAACGTACAAGCTTCCGAGCTACCACTCTTCCCGAACATCTGAACCAATACACGGTCACCGTTGACGCACTCTCTACCTCTACCAGCCTTTTGCTCTAAAGGATCCTCCAAGAGCAGACAGAGGACATATAAAACGCATAAGCACTTATCCGTCTTTTTCCAGATCGATAAACATGAGCATGGTACCACTGCGTAGGTTTCATCGCTACGAACAAAGAGACTCTCTGGCTTCCAGCTGGCGAGACACGAAAGGTTCGAGACCTTTGCGGATGATTGATATTTGACATACCCTCCTTCTTTGCAGCAGAAGATAAAGAGCTGATTCGGAGAGTCTATCATGGAAACCTTGGGGTGCATAAAATCAGAGTACAGAGCACGTAGCAAGAAACAGCGGGCAACCATGGAGACGTCTTTTGGTGCATTAACCTGGGACATATTCGCAGGACGCTCAGCGCATCATTGAGCTAATCAGCAGACTCGGCGGGAATCACATGGTTACCAGAGCACTTCCTGGCGATGGGAGTACACCTCTGCAAAGTGTGCCGATCTCATACCCAACCACTTCATCTTGGCCGGCTCCTCTGGGGGCACGGGAGCTAGCACGAACGCCACAGCGGGCCGCAGGGCCGCGAGGCCCCACTAAGGGACGCATGATCAGCGTCCAGCTAGCGTCAGCTGTCTTGCACCACGCAGATCTTCCGGGGCTAGAGCAGCTAGCCGCCACCCTCTTTTGTGCGCCGTTGCCGGCCATTGTGTGGTACTAAGATTCAGGGCAGGGCACCGTGCGCAGCGGCAAAGATCCGCCTGACTTATCCCTTCCGATATTTCTCCTTCAAGTTCGTTTCTGCTTGACAGCCTTTCGTAGACTAAATGGCCTACGATGCACGGCCTGGAATGGCGCTGAAAGGTTCTTGCGGGCAGGCTTAAGCATGTATTGTATGAGAGACTAGTCAGGGGGGATGGGAGACTGCTCTCACCTACCGCGCGTGTTGTGAGACTGAGACAGCCTACTTTTACATCTAAGGGTTGGCCAGCTCACGCCTTTTTCCTACACGACGGTTGTTCCGAACCATGCTTTACTGATTAGCTGTGATGCGAAAAATCCATTTTCCTGGAACAGAGCAGCTATGCCGCCCGCATGATTTACAGAGCCTCAATGTACTTCAACGATTAGGTCTCTAGAACGACCTTTAATCAGTGACCCCATACGCGGCTCCTGTTCTGGATGAACTAAGCAAATGCTTTACATTCGCTCCCTATCTGCTGATTATGCATCAGCGTAGCTATCTCAAGCTCTCTTCTTGTGGTATTGATTTGAGAAGAGCAAGGCTCTGCTGACCCCCCAAGATGCAAAGCACGGTCCACCTGAATCCATTACGTAAGGTTGTCATCGCTCGCTCGGGGTGTGGTTCTGTCGAATGTCAGTATGACAGTGTCTTTACGGAGGATCGAGCCTTTGCGATCTTCAAAGACTGTAGAAGCTACCAACCTAGATGGGAGTTTTGTTCCTATAGGCATAGAACATTGGGAACGAGTCTGACTCGCATCTGAGATGGGAGACTTGAGTGGTTCGATGTCAGCATCGAGGTCTGGCTTGATCGAGCGAGAATTGACGCATTGGTGATATGAAGACCAGCAAAGGCATTTGCGGAAGATCTTCTCTTGCAAGAGACGCCGGCTAGCTTTTCGTCCAGTACTGCGAGATGATCCCCTTGGGTAAGACCTGATTGTTCACCGAAGAGGCGAAGACTTCTAAGCTCGGTGGCTTAACCTTATGTTTGTACACAACAACACAGCGACTAGCCTTCTCCTCCATTGTGATTCGTCGTAGGCATGAAATTAGTTGTACCATTCTCCTCAAAGAATCTTGATGCTGTGTCTCCCAATCCTGATATTGTTTCGAAACGTCAATAGTTTCAATCTTATCGAATGTACCATTTTTGTGGAATCCACAAATTAGATGCGGTGTCCGACCAAACCAAAGTTGTGGTAGGGCTTTCTGAACCTGTGACCCTTTCGAACGTGCTTTGATTTCTGCCACAGTAGAGGACGGTACAAGGCGACCACGGTGAACGACATGAGTAGGGTCGCTCTTGCTCTTACCTGCTGCCGATGTGTTCTTGTTCTCCTGTAAAGACATGTGCTCTAATGATCTTGGCATGTCATCACTAGACGCTGGAGGAGGTAACAAGATCTCGCACTCGGAGCCTTGCCCTTCCACCTTCGGGCAGCAAGCATCGACCTCAAATCTGACCACGCAGTTCAGATCACCAAGGGCATAACGGATCACACGATGGTGGCTAGCACTGTCTTCGATACCAGGTTCCGGAGTCGAGAAAGTATGCTCAAAATTATGCCCATACCCAGAATCTCGTGATCCATAGATGATTTCACGTGTATTGCGCTCGCGCCTTGTCAAAAAGAGTGTCTTTTGCACCATATGAAGGTCGATACGGAAGCTGTCACGCGCTCGGCCTTTGACAAAATCGAAGAGCTTACGCAAACTGTTGCGATTTGTGACGAGGTCAATATCATTTAGACTGAATTCAGGCTTCATGACCTGTAAAGCGCGGAAGAGAGGCTCGAAAGGAAACTGTGGGACTCGGTACGCATTCTGGTCAATGAAATGACTTCCTGTGTCACGAGGGAGAGTGATAGGCAAATTTTGCTCCGTCCATTGTGCAGGTGCACCTTCAGAAAGATTAAATTGCGTTTCTCACTACAGCAGGGGAACTTAACAACTTACCAGGCACATATATTGAAGGGACTTTGGTAAGTGCCCAATTGTAAGTGCAGAGCAGTTCGAACCCCGTTTTGCTTGTCACAGAAGTCTCACCAGCTTCGAACTGGTCTGGTAGCAACACCTTGATAGACTGACCTGTTCCCTTCAACAGCCACGCAGCTTGCTGAGAATTCGTGGCGTTGACATTGTTGTCGCGTTTCTAAGCAGAGTGCATTCTTAGCTGATATCTGGTCTTCAAGGAAAATTCCCAACCTTGCTTGTGCGATTCTTTTTTCTAGTGCTACCTCGAACCTCGACGGTTCCTGTCTCTCCGCTTGCTGTGGGTTTAGCCATGGAAGTATAAGCGCGTTTATCTGCCTGGGTCTGACTTGAAAGGATATCAATATCGGAGTAGATTGTCTCTGTTGTAAGATGATTGTGGTTCGTTGCGTTAAGCAGAATGTAAAGAAAGTGCGTGTGAAGGATGTGGCTGGGAGGATTGGCCAGAAAGAAGTGTTTTGTTTTCAAAATGGCCAGGACATTTCATAAAGATCATTTCACTATATGGTCTCATTTGGTTCCAATCGAGTAACAGCACCTGTCACAATATATCCTAGGCCCGTATTCGTGCTTCAAGAAAGGTGCATCGACCCTGAATGGGCGGGCTTGAAACTAGCTCTTCTAGTGTGCTGCCGACAAGTGAGGAGTAAATATTGTACTCAAGAAAAGTTCGCTGATTCGCCTCGGGCCTTACAAGTCTCTACAAGTTTAAAACTCAGCTGGTTGCAGAAGCATTGTAAAGTCTTCCAGGAGGCATAGCCCCTGAATCGAGAATCAGGAGCCTAAAGGCAAGAAGACCAACCCCGAGGACTACCAACAAGGTCAGGGTCCCTCTGGCTACCCGGGCACCTAGATACTTAACTACAAAACGTTTCCCTATAGGCTCAATGACCAACAAGTTAGCGACAAGTTACGTACTCTCCATCAAATGGTATTCAGCCTGAATTATTTTCAATTCTCCAAACCTTGTTCATCGAACACGCACAATGCTATTATCAAGTGATGTCGAAAAGACTCACAACCCATTGGGAGACGGCGATACAGAGCTAGAAAATATTTTGTTTCCGGAACTAACACTCTGCCAGTAAACGCAAGGTATGATAGTGCACTTTCCTCTCACTGGAATCATTTTCCAGAATATGCGTACTAGGCCGTAGATGTAGCTTCAGGCCTCCCTGCTCCTTTTTCTGTGGTCGTTTAGCAAGTTAGAACTCCAGCCTTGACATTCTGGACCTCCTTCAAACTCTTAACATCCTCTTGTGGTGGCAAAGATAGAATTTCTTTTTGATGGATACAATGCACGGATCTATATATGTTGTGAAATGATACATCTTCTGTAAAAGGAGAGACAGGGTTAATTTGACGTCAGCGGTAAGTTACCATCCTCCACTGCTATACATACAACATTCTGCAGAGTCCGAGACAGACAGAAGATTCGAATTTCCAAGGAAAGACCGAACATATGTGGTCGCCCTCCCCTCCTCTGGTATTTGTGTCAGCATGATGGTGGCGCGAGCTTTAAAGAAAGTCTCTGCAATAGCCGAGCCTGATTGGTCTTCCGATATAAGAGCTTCCATAGCTTGAGAAATCTTTAGGAGAAGGTCATATGTAATTTGCGCTGTCCATGTAATAGTTATGCAAGCGCTCCTCTCTGTCGGCTGTTGAGGAGTGAAGAATGGTGAACCGAGAGAAATGAGTATAAACGCTACCGTTGCCAGAGATTCCGGTTCACTGATACCTACCACATCTCTGAGCTGGCATATAGTCTCGCCAATGTGATAGGGCTTGTCCCTTGAGAGTATGCGTGTTTCAGTACGGTAAGTTTTCCAAAAGTGACCAAAGACAACTATGCTGGTTTGGCGAGCAATGACTCGAACGTCAGCTAGCTGGATATAGAAGAGTTATAGTGCTGCTAGGAGGGCCGATAGTGTGAAAGCCTGTACTTCGAGTATCCTTGAAGCACACCATTTGAAAAGACAGCGTAGATATTTGTTGTTCCTTGTTGTTTCTTCGGGCGCACGAAATACCATTCGACTCAAAGAGTATGGTGCTAAAAATTGCGTACCATCGCACTGGGTGATCATTTCTGCAGACTGGCAGATGAGAGACATCGGCTCTCGTCCGTCAGTGTACTGATGGTGGCTAGAGCTGGCCTTCAACGTCACATAAGCATGGGATCAATGCTTAGCCGTCTCTTCTCTTTGCCTAAGCTTGTGAAAAATATTCACGAGCTGAACGTGCAAAGTACATCTCAGGCGATAACCGTCACGTCATCTTTGACATGGCAGTTATGGAATGATCGACTTCTAGTAGTCTTGCAGTGGCCAGCGCTTGAAAAGACAGGTTGAATGCTTTGCGATAGCTGCCTATTGCCCACAGTAAGTCTGCTACATTGTATATGCTATACGACGTCATGCCTGGTTTCCGCCACCACGAGCTACCAATGCCACGAGGGTCTTTGCAGCAAGAAAGAGTGGTTGCAACTCTTCGACGTATTCCAAGGTCTCAATGTTTACGCCTCTGCCGGCGACCGAGTTTTCGATGACGTTATACTCCGATGCAAGTTGTTCCCGTTGTGGCTCTGAAGATTAGACGAGTGTCATGGGCTCCGTGATGGAGACTCTATCCCACGCGCCGGTGGTGAATTTGCACCCTTTTAGCGCGCCAAGAAATTTGGGTCTTGGCACGACTTTTTTTCCGTTTTTAGAAGATCAGCGCCATCAATGCTAACTTCTACATGGAATTGCGCAGGTCTCACCGCCAGCCAAAGCCTAGAACTATATGGGAAGAAAGAGGTGCTCCTTCTGCAGCTAGGGACCCCAAGATCACCCAGAGAACTGACCGAACGAAGCAGCAAACGGCTCTCAAACCTGTTGCCATTGGCCCTCTTCCGAAAACGCTCGAAATTGACGTCAATCAACTCCCTGACCTCCCTGCGTATAAACCGTCGTTAGAATTACGATTCGAGCGCTCAAAACCCCTTCTAGAAGGTCTCTCGGAGCTTGATACATTCCACGCCTGCTATTATCGATAGAATCGTTGAATCAACAAACAGCTATGCTAAAAACGCTCGAGAAATAGATCTTATTGAGGAGGAAAAGGAGGAGGATTTTGAACACTTTACTAGACCTTGGAGGTCAGTAAATACTGCTGAGATATGCTTGGAGGTCAGTAAATACTGCTGAGATATGGCGATATATAGGCTGTTTGCTTTATATGGGCTATAACAGACTATCAAAGCATGAAGAGCATTGGGGAGAACAAGGCTATTTGAAGCAATATCTGAGTCTGATACGCTATGAACAAATCCATCGTTATTTTACGCTTCGAGATCGAATGACTGCTCCTCGTCAAGAGCATGAGACTTTTGCTTGGCAAGTAGAACCAATTGGGTCTATTGTTAAGCAAAATTGCAAGGAGAATTGGCACCCAAGCTCTCATCTAGCTATTAATAAGGCTATGATAGCCTATAGAGGCCGCAGTACTCATAAGACCAAGCTCCCGAATAAGCCAATCAAGAAGGGCTATAAGGTGTGGGTACTTGGCAACGCCGGATACGTATACGATTGGCTATAGTATAGCTGTATTGAAGGACCAGAGGATATCCCTCAAGAGGGTATTGAATTTGATCGAGTTATTGAAAAAGAGCTTACGGAGCTTACTATGATACATCTAGCACCAACATTTGCTCTTGTTATTCGACTTGCACAGCGTTTGCGTCAAATCCATCCAACGCGCGTTTTTTGCTTCTTTTTGGATAATCTATTTCTGAACGTCAACGTTGCTTAATCGCTACTTGCTCTTCGCATTTGCTGCACAGGCACTACTCGCAAAAACGCTCAAGGAATCCCTGCATGGATTCTAAAGCTAAAAGAGCATAACCGTGGCCTTGTTTGAAATTCTATGCTTGCAGAAGTTGTTGATAACACGCTTTGCTTTCTATGGCAAGATAATAACGCTGTTATAGGCTGTACAACTGCTCATAATCTTCAAAATGACACGGTTTTACGACTTTGAAGACGACCCTCTCCTACATTAACAAACGCTTGAATCGTACGCCCTATATTTGGCAACTTGCCCTTCAAATGGCTCTATATTCCTTGAGCTATTAACGACTATAACCACTATATGAATGGCGTTGATTAAAGCAATTAATTACGGAAGAACTTCACAGCTTATAGGCCCTACGAACGTCGTGTTTGGCGCCCCTTATGGTACTATATCCTTGATATCTGCGCAGTTAACAGCTATCTCATTTAGAAAGGGGATATAGCAGATATAAAGAAAAGAGGTCAACGCCCGTTTCGAAAAGCACTCATTAACGCCCTTCTCAAAATGCCCTACCCTATCGAAACGCTAGTGCCTATTAAGCAGCACTATAAGAGCAAGCCTATGCCTCTACCTAATCAAGCAACTCAAGGTCATAGCTGGCAGCCCTTAGAGAAGCGCGGATACTGTATATGGTGCAAAAAGAGCGCTCAAGAGGAGAAGCAGCTCAATAGGCCAGCATTAGCAGAAATCGTCAATTCTGTCGCTCCTAAGCGTACGAAAACGTCGTACGGAGGATGCAGAAGCTGTAACGTCTATCTATGCGTAAAAGGAGCTTGTTTCAAGCAATATCACTGTCAATAGCCAAATAATAGCTTGCTGGCGCTCTTGCTGGCGCTTTTTGCTTGATTCCTGCTCGATTTCTGTATGCCAAGCAATTTTGACGCTAAAAGGGTGCAAATTCACCACCGGCGCGTGGGATAAGCTGGTTTGATGCTGCCATCTCGCGCGACCTTCCGACATCTGCTGCGATGCCGAAAGTGCTTCGGGATTTGGAAGACGCCATTTTTGAAGCCTCGCTTTGCATTGTTGGCGTCTATGACGAAAATTAGACTAGTTAGATAGAACCCAAAGATAATAGTCTAGCAGTATAGCCCCGTTTTCGCGCCGCGCAATCTGGGAGGAGTTCAAAAGCCAATGGTAGTTGCGTCCACTTACGATGCTTTGAAGTTGTAATCACCAGACATAACGTCTATCAACTTCTCCAAGATTATAGTAGGACGGAGTTGGCATATCACTGGTTTGTGTTCTCCCATTCAGCATTGGAGATAGGATGAGCTTGAGGCGCTCGCCCATTCCATTTCAAGGTCGAACCGGCCATCGCCAGCTTAAGAGATGAGCTCAAATCAAGTGGTAGTCTCCACTGAATCTTGACCGCACCCAGTTAGGTTGGCCGATTTTGCTGCCTGACTCAGGAATTAGTCAACTGGCTCAACTTTGGCTCAGCCTTTGCTCAGGCCGCACCGCCACTGCTCCTACTGCTCACCCTCTTACTCACCTTCTGTCCTGGTGCTGCTTAGGGAACTCAGTCTCGCTTCACTTAGACTTAGTCTTACTTCTAAGCCCTTACTATTATTACTTAGTGAACAAATGGCCCCATGCGCTGCGACTTACTCCTTTGTGCCTAGCGTTACCTCTGAGGCTTTTCCCAAATGGGCGAAAAGTGAAAGTCCCTACCCAGTACTTGACTGTTGGTACCTTTTGTTTCAGAAACCAATGTTCTGGTCAAGATGCTTGTGTGAGTTTCACGTTATGCAGACACACTCTACGTACTGCAACGTACATTTTTTGGAAGACTGGAGCTAAGCTTGACAGCCCTCTAGGTCGGCTACAATTCTAGCACAAAGCTCCCTCTGGCTTGCCTTTGCCACTTCGTCATCACTGCTGTCAATCATGAGACAACTGAGCACAACGTCCGCATAGGTGTCTCCACATGCCCATCTTAGGCGATCAAGATACGATCGACAAATCCATCGTCTTCGCTCATAATGATCCTCTTCGTCACGATCCTCTTCGTCATAACCGGGATTCTCACTGTACCAGTCCTCGTAGTTCTTCAGTTCCTCCCATAGCCCGACTTCAAGTAGAAGAATACCGAGAGAGTATACATCATATGCGTGACGGTACAGGCGTCTTGGATCTGCATGCTTCGCAGGATGCTGATAATAGTCAAGCATGAAGCCACTGATGTTTATCTCTTTCGTCTGCTCGGCCACAGCTACCTTCCCTAGCATGTTACGACCGTATATGCTGTCAGCTCGAGGAGTTACCTTTCTACGTCTCAAATTTGCTCTCTCGTCCATCGGGTCATCCCACACCCTGGAGATTTCGCTTCGATCGTGAGTACGGTGGCTAGAGCGACTGTATTTTTCTGTTTTTGGCGCAGATGGCGGATTCATTCGGATGAGGACATCGTCCGGCCGTGAGAAGATATAGCCCATCAGAATAGGCTTTGAAACATCGATCTCAATCTTGATCTCGTATCCATCCTCCTGGAGTGCACTCACATGTTCGGGAAAGAACATCACTGACTTTGCGCGTATGTTCTTGTGTAGCCAGCCACTAGAGTGAAGCAGGCAAACGGCATGCACAAGCTTTCTAGCCAGCTCGAAACGCGCACCGAGCGTAGATCGGATGCCTTGTTTCTGCCCCGTTCCAAGGAGTGACTGCAGCGTCACAGGTGCGCGAAGCATCAGGTTTTCCGCAGGCCGCTCACGACTCTGAACGCCAATCGTGCCGGGGAGCTTGTACAGAATGCTGCAATGACCTTTGTGCTCGCCTTCTGTGTGGTCGATCATACCGGCGATATCCAAACCATAGACGCTTTCCCTCATGTTCGCGCCTTGAAAGGTGTTAAAGAAGTTCCTGATGAGAGCGCGAATCTTGGGATCGGCTGGTCTGACTATCTCGATCGGTTCCACATCTTCTTCAGCCTCATCGCTGCTACTGTATTCGGGAATCTGATCTATGCTAGCCTTACTGTAATGGCGGCTCATCGTGCCATCCGTTGACAATGATCTCAAGAAGCGCGCCCGCTTTCGACGACGCTTCATTTGCTGTTTCTGCTCTGGAGTGAGTTCTAGCGGCGGTCCGCGGTAGTCTCGCATTTCCACGTAAACGACTTGCTCTTCAAATAGGGCAAGGCCCTTTCCTAGATACCCCATCTCACGTTGCTCTTCGTTAATGCTGGTGAGAGTCCTGTCATCCGCTTGTTCCCTGCCTTTGTTTTCATTAACCGATGCTTTCAAAGTGGCCGCCGAAGCCAGCAATTCGTAGCCTTCCCGCACTGACGAACTTCCATCGACTTCTGCTTGCTGAGTTGCGAGTCTTGAAGTCCACTTCAGACCTGCTGGCGACTCCTGCCTGGCCAAGCATTCCATAGTGAGATAGATGTTCATTGACTCGAACGCGTTTTCGGGACAAAGACGATAGAGCGATTCGCTGTGAGATCTCAAATCGGTGATAAGTTTCTTAAAGTTGTCCTTGTCCTTCAAAGCCCATTTAAACTTATTAAGCACAGAGAGACGGTTCTTGACTTCACTGATCACCGGCTTGACATCCTCAATTGTAGTGTTCGAGATGGTCAACTGAACGTTATTGGTCGACTGTGATCCATCTTGGGTGGCCTGGGTGGGTTGGAGCTGGATGCCATAGCGCTTGATGAGTTTCTCCTGGTTAGCAGTGTATCGGCAAGAGCAGAAAGAGTGTTGAAGACGCCTTCGGCCTTGAATCGGTTGCTCAAGAGGTACTCATGAAGTTTGGTCCGCTTTTGTCTAGTGTGTTTGGAGTGTTCCGGCTCGCTGCCGTCTTCATTTTGAATCTGCCAATGAAAGCCCCAGGCTTTAAGAATTGACTGCTGAATCTCCAATTCGCGCAGGTGAGCTGAAGATTCTACCTCTGCTGTTTTCACGGCAGTGAAGAAACTGTAACAGTCCCGACATGTTGTGTAGAGGGCCGCGATACTGAGTACAAGACTAGCAGCATCCATGATAGTGATGGAATAGGAATAAAATATGTACTGCTAGGCAGCGTGGTAAGAGTCGAGCCGCAGCGTGCTATGAATAAGTCAGATGAAGTCGAGATCTTTATCTAAAAATCTTTATCTGTGATAATGCACCTTCATATAGTTAGTATAGAAGATTCTGCCTGAGAAAGCCTCGGCCATAAATAAAACAGCCTGAGATGCATGAGTGGTCTCACATGTGGCAGGAATGACTAGTAAAGAGTGTTAAAAATTTGACTGGCCTATCTGCAATGCATGCGCTCCACCTCATATCATCATAAACGGCAAATTAGGCAGACATAAATGCGTGTGTCCGGTGAGAGCGCCCAGCCGCAGCCTTGCGGAACCGCTGAGAGAGCCTGTGGGGGCTTATTCCACCCTCTTAACCTGTGTGTTTATGTTATTGACCTTGCTTCGCCACCACAAGCATGCATGGCATCGCAGAGCGCCTATGCGACGTTCCCAGGTGCGCACAACAACGAGGGATCGTAGGTTGGGCATAATCAAGGCGCGATCTACAACTATCAAGGCGCCAACGTCCGGGGCTCCGGGCCGGCACGTCCCTGCCTGCGCTCTCACAACGGCCATGCGCTAAAAGCCAGACCCTTCAGATCATGATCGAACCCCTCCGCTCCGAAGCCATCTTCGAACGTTCCGTCCGGTAAAGACGACGCCTTTGTCGACCGTGGCGATATTCTCGCGCGCATCCACGAGCGATGCTCGCGCCCAGCAGGTCGTGCCGCACTTATAGGCTTTGGCGGCTTCGGGTGTGTGGTTGCTCTGCGCTGACTCTGACATCTACTAACTTGTCTTGCGCAGACTGTCGCAGCTCGCGATCGAATACTCACATCGCTTCCGACAGCAGTCGCCGGACACATGGATATTCTGAGTTCATGCAAGTAACTCCGCGCGCCTTAAGGAGGCCTACAACGATATTGCAAAAAGAGTCGGCTTTGACTTTAAAGCCAAATGCAGCAGCAGATGTTCTGCCATTTGTGCGAAGTTGGCTAAGAGATGAAGCGAATGGAAATTGGCTGCTGATTATCGACAACGTCGATGATGAGATCGTGGTCGAGCTCAAGGACGGTCAACAGCTCTCTTTGTCATCCCTCTTGCCTCAGAGCGACAACGGGGCGATCCTCGTCACGTCGCGAAGTGCAGACGTTGCGCGGCGGCTCGTGGGCCGCGAGCAGGACATTGTCGAAGTTGGTGCAATGATCAATAACGAGGCAACGCAGCTGCTACAAGGGAAGCTAAGAGACACTCAGCAGGATGGCCTAGCCCAGCTTGTCAAGGCTCTCGATTGTATTCCAATTGCTACCATCCTAGCAGCAGCCTACATGAACCGATTAGGGCCACGCATGCCCGCCATGAAATATATCGTCGAGCTCGGGGTAGTCGAGAGACGTGTGCAGCTGCTCCAAAACGCGGCTCCGGATATGCGGCGGGATGAACAGGCGCTGAACTCAGTACTTGTGACGTGGCAGATCTCGTTTAAGCACATACGCAGCAAGCGGCCGTCGGCGGTATGCCTCCTCTCGTTCTTGAGCTTCTTTAATCGACAAGGTATCCCCAAGTTTATGATCCGTCATTGTCTGGACGATGATAGTGATGCCAAGATGATTCACTATACCAAGGCCTCGAAGCAGAGGCAAAAGATTTTGAGGATGACATGGCAATCTCCGCGCCTTCTCGTTTGTGGGCACGACGCAACGCGCGGACGAGTTTAAGATGCACAAGCTGGTCCAGCTCGCAACTCGCACGTGGCTCAAGTCGACTGACACAGAAAGGAGATGGTACCAGACCTTTATACGAACAATAGCGCAAGAGTTTCCTGATGGCGAGTACTCGAATTGGCCGAAATGCCAGGTTCTTTTCCCGCACGTCTTGACCGGCATCGATCAGAAAGGCAAAGAGCATCAATAGTAAGGGACTAAACCTACTTTCGAATCATGCAGGGTGGTACGCGTGGCAACAGGGACTTAATGTTGACTCCTCATGGAAGCAGGCAACGGGCCACAGAAACACCCAGCAGAACCAAGCAGAAGATATGATTGGGAAAGCGAGATTACGGTCTACTACGTAGCTATTCCTCATAAGGAGATCAGAGGCAAACAGTGTCCAAACTCGCAGAGGTTGGCCACAAAGACGTCCCCATGTAACTCTCATGTAGCCTTCGTGCCAACTGGTCTGCTTGCAGGATGTTGGCGCATTGTCTAACTTATCAAGATGGGAAATTGTAGCTCTGTGGTTAGGCACTGAGACAAAATTAACCTTGAACCATACTAAGTACGTAAGTACTTATGCCAAGCAATTTCGTACCAGTACTACGACAGATAGCCCTAGTCCAATCTGGGCATGTAGCCACAGGGCTGAAAAGGCTACTTTCTGAAATTGGGCAAGCGCCATTTCAACAATGCACCAAAATCCCACTGATCTGCAAGCTGTCGGGAACGCCCAGGGTTTTGAGCGACGTGACAATCTAGCATACGAATAGTATGCGCCTCGCAGTCGTAAAGCACTATCAGCAGGGCGACGAAGGATGGGCTCCCGATTTCAATAAGTCGAACGATGGAGAAACTCTGACTCCTAGAGTGAGTCAGTGAGGGGTACATCAATTAAGTGTGGTTCGAAACCTACAAGCGCTGTCCTTTTGCGGAGTGGTTGATGTATCCCTTTTCTGAGTGCAGAGTTCTCCTTTTGTGTGTGCGCGCGCTAAGCGTGCGTAGCGTGCTTGGCACGCTTGGCAGCCTTGGCGCGGCATAACACAAGCCCGGGCAGTATGGATCACAAATCTCACAGATTTCCCTTTCCATTCATTTCGGAACTCATTTCACTTTAATTAGAAAGACTAGAACAGAACCACGCTGGATCTGCCCGTGACTCTATCTGGGTCATCTTCCACTACGGTATTAGGCAGAAGTATTGTTAGCACATAGCTAGTAACTTGGCAGAAGAACAAATATCGAACGACAGACTAATACAGAATGAGCTATGCGGTAGGGAGAAAGACATGGACACAAGAAGAAGCTTCTGGAACAGGGTGTACATAGTAAGGACGTATTAAAACTAGTCATTCTTAGTATCGTGCTAATAATACTCTGTACTTCTGCCTGATACCATAGTAAAGTCTATTCGACTATGCCTAAAATAGTGCTACCTTAAATACAACTTAAAATTAATTCAGGTTTTAATTAATTTTAACTGAAGCAGATAATGTTTCCATTCATCGAGAGTTCCTGCAATTCCTATCAGACGGTCTTATATTTCTGAAAATGCAGCATTACTGTCAGCCGACAAAAGATAACAGCTCTCTACGTAGTACTTACCAATAACTTATCAGCGATAGACTAGTTTAGATAGTGTAACGATAGTAGTCGGCCAGAACGGCGGTAAGCCGTTAAATCTAAATAATCAGACTTATATAACACTTCGGTTCAAGAGGCCGATTTTCATTATCAAGCCACCGGCTTAATAATTACTGTGCAAGGAGACGTATTACAAAGCCGGGGTAAACAAGCCGGTTGGAGGTATGACATGCTTGGTACGAATGAACGGGATTGACCCTGTAGGAGCTGTGAGGGCAGGCCAACCAAAATGGCAGGCACCAGACGGGGCGACGACCCGGCAAATGACCAGAACTAGGAATCTGATGCCACAAACGTTAGGATGGCGACTATTTTAGTCACGGCTTCAAGCGCTGCGTCACTCGAAGTGTCTCCAGTCAAGCCGTATAGCCGGAATGAGACCCATGGAAGCTGCCCTAGAGGTCCGCCACTGACAGAAGAATATCTCCGCTACCATTGGCTATCATTACCCTTCCTACGTATACCCTTTCTTGGCTGTCAACCAATACGATTTAGAAAAGTTCCCATTTGTCGGGAATGCAGCAGCTCTTCGGCCAAGAAACGTTTTCTGCCTTCTGGGGCAAAACGAAATTGAGCTGGCCGGGTCGATGACTGCGGCAATTGGCCACGGTCAATCTCTCCCCGTGTTGACAAAATGCAGACTCTGATGACACGATAGGGTCGACCGAGCTTGAAGAGAAAGCGGACAGACCCTGGAAACAAGCCACTTGTCACGCTGTGCTACATCTTGGCGTTTGGTAGTTTAGCTTTCGGTTCCGTTCCAGGCGCGACACAAACCTAATTTCCGCCCAATAGTTAACCACTCCGCGGCTTCCGTCTGGACACTATTCCATTTTTGGCAAGTTTACACTCTTCGGAGTTGTGTGGTTTACTGTTACCATTGCCTTTCCTGGATTGCATAGAAACAACGATATTCGATCAAGATACGATGAGTACACAACCAGGTTCCGTCCCCTACGTCAGGCGACGTACAGGCGTCAGGCGACGTACAGGCGTCTGGCCTGTATGTACTTAAAAATCCCAGACTTTCCTCATTGGGCATGCGACCACTGGCCACCAAGATGGAAGCGAGGGTTGCATTACTCAATCGAAGTAGCCAGCTCTCAGAAGGAGCCTCAAGCACGGCTCAGAATGCTACAAATATGGGTCGGCTCTGTCGTTTTCTCCTGCGATGGTTCAAAGCAGATTGCCTCCCCTAAACATTCCAATCTTCCTCGAAACATCTTCCTGATATATACATATTCAAAGTACTGCTGCCATCAACCATCAAGCCGGATCACCACTGACAGGGACCGTCAGTCACTTGAAGCGCAACCATGTCTGCCAAAGAGTCCAAGTCCAAGCCTATGACAGAAAACAACCCCCTCAGTCAGCAGGAGCTCGATCTCCTCCACCTCGGCGCTGTCCACCACCATGCTCCTAACAGCAAGCCTCGCCCCTACCGGGACGGAAAATACACAAGCTGACCCATGTAGACATCACCGGTCTTGCAGCACACAGGTCGCAGACAAGCCTGGCAAACCCATCACGCTTCTCGCCCACGAACGTCACCGCCAACACCCAGCATACACCCCGTGCGGTGACTGCCCCGAAACATGTTCCAGCACATCAACGCCACAACCCTTGCTCCGGACATCCAACCGAGAACGTACCGGTACATCAGCACCACAACCCTCGACCTGACCATTCAGCCCAGAAGAGCTCAATGCAGACCTGGCGCGCCGAGTCCGCTGCCGACCAGCCCTGGAATGGTCTTGCTCTCGGACAGAGCCATGCCGGCACAGCTCCGAAGAAGAAGTGAGCCTCGAGAGGGAGTCAACAAGACGTTGCCAAAGCGTGACCGGGTTGGGGAGTTGTGTCATGTATGTGAAAGAATCCATCTAATCATTCCTTACGCAAAGGATCAGGCCTGGGCTCGACGTTCCTATGACATACGAAAGCGTCCCTGTCATCAAGACACTGCAATGATAGACCAGGTTCAAGACTACCTACCTATCTACAAGAGACAAGACGTCGCTACCTACAGGGCTATGATAGTAAATGACATCTCCGCTTGCTTTTGGGTTGAAAAACCAACATGCAACATCATCCCAACCATTTTACATGCAAATAGAAAGCAGAAAGCAGCAGAGAAGCTTGGGCAAGCGCCAAAAATCAAGAACAATTCCACCGCGTACATGAACATCGCATCGTCACAAACCCTTGAATCTCGCCCATCCCGCCGCGGCAATACCCGTCCTAGTCTCCTTCCCGTTCGCATCTCCGTTTCTTCTCGCCCCTGCCATTGCCGTTGCCGTCCCGCCTTCCAGCCCAGCCTTAGTATGAGCTTGCGCTCCCTCCCCATCACTCCCAGCACCCGCATACGCGTATCCACTTCCTCTCCCCTCCTCGACAACCTTCCCGCTAACCTCCCTCCTCCTCCCCATGCCGCGTCCAAACTCAGCTCCCAATCCCGCATACCCAGCCGAAAGATCATGTCCTGTGCTACTGACCACCCTACCCTTCCTGTCGCTCTCATAATCATTCCCTCCCCGTTCCGTTTGGTCGTCATCATCTTTTTCATACGAGAACCTCCTCCCCCCACCATCGGCATTACTCGCAACAACCTGCACACTCTCACCCTCAACTACCATGTAAGGCATCTTACCCACAATATCTTCATCATCAAAGTCATGGCCGTGAATCTGGATATTACTATCCATCGACTCGGTCCGCTCCGAACCGTTCTCCTTTGAATAGTTGGAGGCGGTATCACTCTTGATCTCTGACACGTCTTTCTCGAACTTGCTGCTCACCGTGCCGACTTGGCTGCGTAGATCGCCGTAGTACCGCCCTTTGCTGCCGGAGCCGACAAAGCTGGATGGTCGGCTTGTTACCTTCGATCTGGATCTCTGAGACAGTGGGGGCAGATTGATCGGTGCGTCGTAGAGTGCGTATCTCTGCGGCTCCTCTTCCAGATCATTCGTTACGTCGAGTTGCCGGGTCTCTTCTTGCTCGTGTGCGGAATATGCTGGGCTTGGAGGGTTCATGCCGAGAGGATTGGGTGGGCTGAGCTGCTGTTTGTTCATTGCTGCAGCACTATTTGAGCCGAGACCACGATCGAGATCGTACAGACTTTTCCTACGCTCGTATCCTACTTGTTGTGCTCGCGTTGCAGAATACTGTTCTGGTTGGTCTTGCTGGATAGGGACATAATCCTTGCTCCCTTTGTTCTTGATATGTGGGGATTCGTACCAGTTTTTGATCTCCAAGTAGTTAATGTCTCGGTCTGAGTCAGGAGTGCTGGCTCGGGAGGTGACAGGCGATACCGGCGGGATATTCTCGTCGTTAAATAGATTGAATTGAGCATATTGAGGGGCGTTTACTCGGTGTTGATAGTTGTCTCGAGGCGACAGTTGAACATTGGCGTTGAATGTCTGCCACGGCTTGTCTTCCTGAGCGAGCTGAGATGAACGTGCCGGCCGGTGTTCGAATCCGGTACCAGCTTGACGGGAGCTGATGGAAGGTGCTGCTACGGATTGTGGACGAGAGGGTGGTCGAGAGGGTGGACTGGAAAGTGTTTTGTTGATTGGAGTATATGAGCCACGGAAGGAGTGGTTCGATTGCTGGTACAGACTTTCGGGTCTGGAGACATCCATTCGAGAGCTGCGTGCACTGTTGTTCTGATGAAGTTGGATGCGATCTGCAGAATCTGTCCTAGTGTGCATGAACGGCACTCTTCTGGCTGGAGCTATGAGAGGATCTGCTGTGCTAGACATGCGGCTGTTGGGCATGAGAGATGTCTGGCTCATGTGATTCTCTGATGCTATAATTTCTGACTTGTTTCGTTTATGTGGTCTTGCTGTCAGATTTGGCTCAAGAGGATTCATGTCAGGGGGTAGCTTGGCGATCTGCCGGAAAATGATTGCAAGGTATACTCCAAGGACGAGTGAGAGGAGAAGAAGTCCGCCTTCGATGACACATAGCAGAAACGTGGTGTATACAATGTACCAGGTCGTGAGGGGAACATCAAACAATGTGTTCCAGCCGTAAGTACCACTAGTGTGCTCATTATGCGCCATGAAAGCGGAGAATGCCAGAAATGGGAGAAGTCCAGCATCGATCATGGCGGCGAAGAGCATGTAGCTTGCGCTCGATGCGGCAGTTCTGCCGGTTGCAGATCGGCACAAATGGTATACGGCATAGAGTGTGTGCACCAAGACAACACATGGTGCTATTCGAATTATCCATCCTAGCGAGCCTGACGTTCCCTTGATGGCGATCACGCAAAAGAGAAGGCCGAGTGATCCAAATAGTGCTAGAACACGCAGTCCCAGCTGCATCCGTCTCGAGTACTTGATCCTGGTGTGCGTGTTTGGGTTCATCGGTTTGACGTTCAGGTTGCCATACGGCACAATCAGGTACTGCGACAGCATTAGTTGGAGGAGCGCAATGCAGGCGCGAAACACGCACCGAGTCTGGATGCTTATTGAAGTTGATCAATGGACCATCTTGTTTTGGCTTGGATACAGGAGGCGACCAGCTTGCCTGAGTCGCAGCTTTGGGATTGAAGCCTCTATCAGTGGGACCATTGAATGAATATCGTGATGGGTGATCATAGATAAACGGAGGTTCGACCCCCATACTGACGGAGTTCTCACAGTAACAGACTTGGAGACCTGAGGAAGGAATACGACTCCACTTTGGTAGGGAATGTGGGGAGGCCAATGGTAGACAACTTAAATCGCACTGAAGGGAGGAACAACAACCGAGCCGCTAGTGCTGCCATAGCAACAATCGATAATAAAAGCTTGGCGAATCCTTTCCCTCGTTCGACCGACAGAACATGAGGATGATGATTATGACGATGACGATGACGATGACGATGCGGTCGACCCAGCTTTGATAATTCTTCTGAAAAGACGATGATGATACAGACATAATGGCGGGCTTACTCTTCGATCATGAGCTCTCTTGCGCAAAGCATGAAGCTATGCATCCGACGGGTTCCCACACTGCCATCAAGGCGACCTCGAAGCTTTAATCCGAATCTATCCGCCATCCGAACATTTCCCTTGCGCAATCTCAGCAGCCATGTTGCTCAGTCGCATGTACCGCCTTTTCGTGTTGCAATCATCGGTTCTGGCCCGGCAGGCTTCTATGCAGCTAGAAGGTTATTGACTCTGGTTGACGATGTCATCATTGATACGTACGAGCAGCTGCCAGTTCCTTTCGGTTTGGTCCGCTTTGGAGTAGCACCCGATCATCCAGAAGTCAAGGTTAGAGAAGTTCACATAGACCTTTGGCGGCTTCTTGTTTTAACATCCAGTATAGAATTGCCAAGACACATTCACCGGAGTCGCAGAATCACCGCGCTTCAATTTCGTCGGAAACGTGCATGTTGGACCACAAATTCCTATCCAGTATCTAGTACCACATTATAATGCCTTTATCTTTGCATATGGAGCATCAAAGGATCGCGAACTTGGTCTCAAGGGAGAAAGAGATGGGAAGCACATATACTCTGCTCGTGCCTTTGTAGGCTGGTATAATGGTCTTCCAGAATATCACGACCACGACCCCGACCTCACAGTTGGAGAAGATGCTGTAATTATCGGACAGGGAAATGTGGCACTGGATGTCGCAAGGACATTGTTGACAGACATCGATATTTTGAGAAAGACAGATATCACCGAATATGCCTTGGAAAGACTGTCGAAAAGCAGAATCAAGAATATCCACATAGTCGGTCGAAGAGGCCCAGTCCAGGGCGCATTCACCATTAAGGAGATACGTGAAATGCTACAATTACCGAATGTCTCATTCAAACCAATTCCGGACTCCCTCTTCCCCCCTAACATCTCCGCCCTTCCACGCCCTCAGAAGCGCCTCCTTGAGCTCCTCAAAAAGGGCTCCGCCACACCTCCCAGCGCCGCCAAGTCCTGGTCCCTCGACTTCCTCCTCTCGCCCCACTCTCTCCACTTCGCGCCCTCTGATCCTCAACAACTTAGCGCCATCGAATTCACGCGCACCCAACTCGCCAATCCCACCTCCCCCACATCACCCCTCCTCCCACCATCCCCCAACCCAGCGCACCACACAATTCCTACAACAACCCTCTTCCGTTCCATTGGTTATAAATCGGAACCTCTCCCCACGCTAGCCTCCGCCGGAATTCCCTTCGACTCGCAAAAAGGGATCTTCCCTAACGATGGCCTCGGCCGCATAGTCTCCTCACCTCAGCATGCACACAAGCCCCAGGAAATGGATCACGAATACGGTATTCCGATCCCAGGCCTCTACTGCGCTGGGTGGGTGAAACGTGGGCCTACGGGTGTCATCGCTTCGACGATGGCAGATGCGTTTGGGACTGCTGAGGCGGTTGTTAAGGATTGGAAGGATCGACAAATTACCAAGAAGGAGATTATGGATAAGAGATTCATCGGGAGTGCTGAGTCGAGGGGTTGGGATGGTGTGAGGGATGCGGCGGAGGAAGCGGGAATAGAGTTGAGGAGGGTGAGCTGGGAGGATTGGAAGAAGATTGATCGGGTGGAGAGAGAGAGGGGAAAGGAGAGGGGTGGGAGGCCAAGGGAGAAGATCGCGAGTGTAGAGGAGATGTTGCGGATTTTAGACTGAGGGAAGTAGATTCGGATGCCCAATCATTCGGTTGCTACACACGACATTATTTGTCCGCCAAGTACACTTTCTTGCGACAATGCCAAGGCCCAGCCTAATGATGCTTTCACAAGCGTAGCGCTAGAATCGGATGAGAGAAATGAATTGCATCCGGAACTAAGTATTGCGAAACTAGTTGATTGAATATCACTATGTCACAAGACCGCATACACCTTGTGTCAACCTGCTGTGCAGAGTGCGTAGAGAAGCAAGTTGATTGATAGCTACGGGGGTAGAGAGCGTAGATCTATGTACAATTGGCTGTACCGTACAGCGAAATTAGAAGCGAAATTGCGTCGGAAATTGACCAATTAGAAGCAGCAGAAACGCAGGGATTACGCATATTAAACGCGGCCAATTAGCCCTCTCAGAAGGTCAACACCTTGTTATATCCGATCAAACATAACTCCATTCTTGTGCCCTTCTAGGATGGTTTGAAGATAAGATGCTTAGGTGCCTTACATAGTAAACTGGTGATGTGTTTGACTAACGAGTATTGCGCAAAAGGTCTGGATAAAATTGAGGAGAGACGCTATGCTTTTCCGGGATAGTATGGTGAATGACATATCGTAAGACGTATAGAGCAACGTGCGCTCAATATTCAGTTGCTAGCGATGAGGATCTCTCTTTATAAGCGAGCGGCAATCGAGCTGAAAAGTGAGCACTTATGGGTTTGTGCAGACGGTGCAGCACTTGATTATGGGAATTGATCATGCTGGCGCGAAGATTGTTATTCCGATGCTTGGTTGGATAAAGGTCCCGCTTAGAGGGTGACTCGATAACGTTCTGACCGAGATTGTTGGGATGGGAGAACGCTGGGTCTGGGTTCTTTTAAGGGTTCTTTTGAGAGTACAAAGGTCCAAGAACAGCACACCTGTCGAATATATTCGTTTCGTGGGCTTCTGGTGACGGCAAATGCAGAGGGTCATGCTGACTGCAATGCACAGCAGCAGGGCATGGCGGTAATAGGTTACGGACTTCTGGGCAGAATTTAAGGGATTCGCTCTCCCACAACGCAGCGATAACAGCGCCATGGTGTTGATAGAACGGGCAGGTTCCTTAAATAGGGGGGTTTTCCGTCCTTCGGGATACTTCAGCTCACTGCGATCATTCTCACCAGCAACAGCTCATCATCATTGCTCGGTGTTCCTGTCTTCTCGTTCTGTTATGCTCACTTGAGAACTTCTTTAGCGGGGAATTGTTAGACGATGTACTGCACGGTCGAAGTGCCGGCGCACAGGCGCTTCCTGACCTCTCCGTGTTTCTAATCCAGGTGAAAGGGCTGCTGGTGCGCAATGCTGGTCTGAAACCTGCTGGAGACAACTCATGGCCATCACACACTACATCTTCCCATAAAGAGCTGTATTTTGAATAAAAGGTTACCCTCCGATCGGAATTGAACCGTGCCAGCCGTCACTCAGTTCGTCATCACTGTCTCCATCACTCACTTCGTCATCGCTCTCTCCTCTGCTGCCGGCATCGCTGTCTGCATCATGCTCATCTTGGCTGTCCTCTGACTCCTCATATTCGAGGCCTGACTTGTCTTCATACTCCCAATATGGAAGAGGGGGCGGTGGCTCCATATCCGGACCGTCCTCAGTCAGTCGGACTACTTCTTCCTCCGGCAATCCATCCCGTCTCAATAGAGATGGTAGCTCTTCTCTGACAAAATTGACGCCATATTGGTCTATGCAATATTGTCTTAGATGTCTCTGGGGAATGTCATCCTTCGACCAGCATTCTACCATCTGAGTGATCCATATATTTCCATTGGTCCCTTTGCAAATCCACATCCCAGGTTGCCCGAAAGCTCCTTTTCCTTCCAAGAACTCGAAGCACGTCTTCCCCAAACACGTTGGCCAGTTATATTTTATGAAAATTTCTCCAAAAATCTCTAGACAAGCCTTTCTCGAGTGCCAGAAAGTAGGTAGCTCTTGTTTCCAGTACATTTCTGGCCAGTCCCAATTAACGAAAGGTTCACCGAAGGCTTCGAGACAGGCTTCCCTTGAACGCCAAAAAGAAGGTATCTCCTCTTCGCAGTATAGTTTTGGCCATTCGTAATCAACGAAACGTTCACCAAAGAATTCTTCACAAGCTTGTCTCGACTGCCAGAAAGCTGGCTTTCCATCCGACCAGTAAAGCTTCGGCCACAAAACTTTAATAAAATGCGACCCAAATACGGCCACACAATAAGATCTTGACCTCCTAAGAGATACTGGCATTCGACGCCACTTCTGCTTCTGCCTTTCCCCCCACTTCCTCGTATTCCCCTCGGTTCTAACCATGAATTGAAACGATCCATTTCCCCCGTAATCGTCGAACAGCTTTGTAAACTCGGAGAGGTCCCACTCATCTTGCTTGATCAGAGGGGAGAGCTGACTATGGCGAACCATAACAAACAAGTTCTTGGCAATTGCCTCACCCGAATCTTCGAAAGGATCTGTTTGACTCTGTGCCATTATGATGCGGAACAAACTTAGAGTAACTTCATCGAGACTGAGCGCCAGCGCGAACATGATCCAAAACAGCGATCCACCAACACCACAGTCTACGCCGGAGTCTGCAAGCAACTTTGCAATATTGAGCCAATCTCTTCGCATGACGGGGTTTTCTTTATTATCTTCTATACCAAACTGCCGGATAACAGCCTCGAACAACGATCCCTTAAAAAGGTCTTTAGAGTCTACAAGATCAAAGGGCGTGACCTCTCGACTCTCCAAAAGTTGCCGAAAACCCACGTAGTCAGCACGACGAATGATATTGTAGACTAACGAGTCCCCCTGATGGGTACGAATGACTCGTAACCGATTATCCCATCCGGGGTGGGAGATTGTAGGTCTACTTTGTCCAGTTTCGAACAGAACACCAAACCTCAGGAACCACGAATTCAGAATAAGTCGAAAGCTCGTCTGTCGTGCCTGAAGGCGTGTTGGAGGAATATAGTCTGAGTCTATATCATCTTCTTGCTTTATGATTGATGACGTTAATTCAATCCGTCCGAACCAGACATTGAAGACCGACTTGCTTATTTTCTGTCGCTTCGGGCTTCGTCTGCCTAGTTATATAAAGTGCATAAAGTTTTCAGCTTGAATGCTAGTATTAGTAGACATGATCTTTGAGTTATTACGAAGTAGTGACAAAGCATTTTTATACTGTAGTAGCGCTTTTACTGACCTGGTCCGCTTAAATAACAATCGATTATTGCTAGTATAAGCACTTCCTTTGCAGATGTTAGCAGTCATATTATTAGGCCCCTGCTCTGTTAATAAGACTTTAGTTTCCCTTGAAGTATTGTGAACTGCTAGACTTTTTGTAATAGTGTCCTGTATTATAAGGGCTAACATTGACGGCAGATCATTAAACCGTTTAACGAGATTTGCACTGAGCGACGTAATAGCATTTTGCGTGAAGTAGGACGTAATCTTAGCGTTGTAGGCGTATTGTTCAGATGATGCGGACTATACTAGAAGCGTCTGGTTGTTTGAGACAATCTTATCTAATGACAGCTTCGTTATTTCTGCAAGCAGATGACTATCTTTCTGTAGACTATGAACATCAGTTGCGAGATCTCTAGTCTCTTTCACAATCTGAGCTGAAGCTGTGTGCTTATCTTGAAGCTGCAGAAGACTTTGCTGCGCTCTACGCGTCATGTCTAAATGTTGCAACTAGAGTGCAAGCTGAATGCTGTCTTACACGGCTAACAAGGAAGACTTTGCGGCTTCTAACTGTGACACATATCCTCTGAGCTGGTCACCTCTTCTTGCCACATCAAATTTCTGCCATGCTTTGTAGAACGCGGCCTTATAAGACTTGACATTGCCGGAACTTGATGCTATAGAGATCGAGAGATCCGCGTATTTGTCTACAAAGCTCTGTACTTTCTGTATTGCATTTTGGCAGCTTTGTAGCGGAACAGCGGGATCTTGTTGTACCCTTAAGCAGGCAGGAGCACTGGCCTGTATTTCCAATAGCAGATGCTGGAAAGCCTCGAGCCGGGATCTGACAGCGCACAATTCAGTCGAGACGGCGACAATGACGTCCGGGGCGTCCGCGGCATCAGAGAAGGTCTTGCAGAGGTAATTGCACCCTTGCAAGATCTGTCCTGATAAGCCGATGAAACCAACGACGCCAGCGGCAATGTCCATTGCTTAAAACCACGATAAGCTAGAGCAATCCACGCAACGCTGTATTGCAATAGCTACGAGATCAAGTCGGCTTCTTGTTTGACGTCCACGGACGGGCGTGGCTGTTGTAAAGCAGCTAGCTGGCCTCGTTGGCTCTTCAGGCGAGGAAAGCCAGAGATTGTCTTCTGCTTGTGCTCTCCGAGTGCGTTCGGTCCGTTGTATCTGATGTTCTTCTCACTATGGCACCTTCCACATCTTCTCAATGGAGTTCGAGTAGGAGTAGATTGGACATCGGGCGGCTGTTCCCTGTGCAAAAGTTCGCAGCATCAGGCTGCGCATTCTGAGCCTCCACCTCCCACCAATCATTTCCCAACCTCCCATTATTACTGAACTAGGGAATCTCCTCCACGGAAAAGGGTGGATTATTTTCCGATCTTATTTAAAGTATTGGACACTTTGCTTCAACTCTGTCAGAATCCCTGCGCATACGATACGTATCTGTTACGTATTAGCAGGATGATACAGGGGTCCCCGCATGCGAAACGCACGAAACGCTCTTGTAACTTTTACGCCCTGTTATTTATGGCAGTGAGCATTGCTATACGAATTGAACGCCAAATGCTGTTTCTGAGCTGTTGCAGTAATGCGCTTCTATAGCTATTAGTGTGAGCAAATGCTCCTCTTGATAGGAGTAACTCAATCAATTCAATTGGTATCTCCGTACGCTATTTGCTACATCCTCTAACAAACTCTAGTGACGCATCCAGGAACCAAGCATATGTTGAAATGACTGAATTGATTGTCTTGCCCTTATACTCCGTAGATTAAGGGGGCAATCAGTAATCTAATACAGATAACTTAGTAGGTACCTAATTTCTAGCTAAACAAGTGCCTGGGTATCAATCGGCCCTTACAGAAAAACGCTTAAATCAACAAGCTCTTGATGAATACTACTTTGTCGTTTACTTAAGCCCAAATTCCCCAGCGATAATACGCACCAAAATCTTGCATGTCTGCGGGTCCAGGACAGTCTGGCCAATGATCTTCAAGCTTCAGCGAGATGATAACGCCGCTTGAGGTCAACGCACGATATGAACCTCGATCGATCATGAAAACTCGGATATCACCACGTATGATATATAGTCCGGACCGAGTGCGTCTGAGTTTTGAGTAGGTCGACTATGTATGTCCTGCACAGTTCGGATCTTTTTCTTGCAAAAGATATCACACGTTGGTCTTGGTTAGTGACGCATACGCTATGGGGAGCTGCCTGAAAGGTGAGATCATCGAGTCCGTGCATACGAACGTCTTCCCATAGAAACCTACCAAATTGAATAAGATTGAACATGGAAGTCACATGTCAGCAGGCGATCAGGCTCTGACCACTGCCGTTTTCGCAAATTCCAGAACGTGCCAGCAACTAGGAAGCGGCTGATGTCGGAAGCGAGCAAAAGAATGAGAGTAGGAACTTGTCGTTAGATAGAGGAACGAGTACACGGATGATTGCGATTCTTGTCTATTGGAACTACTATGATACACAATGTAAAGCGAAGGACTGACTAATCAGGGTTCAACTGTGCAAGGATAAGTAGTAGAAGATTTTCACACACACTGGTCAATTGTTGGTGCCAAATATTCACATTCTTTTCGCTCCCAATCACAACTTCGCTACAAGCCTTCAGTCCTTCCGCGCTTGAGCGCTAAGCGATCCAATCAGTCCCGAGGGCAGTGCGACGTTTCCGAGTCGCTGCAGTGCGCAGCGCCTGCGCATGATAGCACGCACAAGCCCTGGGCAATCGCGGAGCCGGCTGTACCGCCGAAAGCTGAGCAGTTGTCGGAGCAGCTAACGCATTCTTTGCAGTTGCAGGCTCGCTTGGCCAATGCTGGAGCCGGTGCTATCTTGCGTGTCAGTTACGTGCAAGTGACGAATGTCGGAACGCGCAAACGCGACCAGGGGGTTTTTGCACTTACCGAAGTACGGCTTGCCCAAAGCTTCGTACAGGGCTCTGGCTTGAATATCTGGCATGGGCGATGGCGCAGCTTGGACGTGCTGACCGGCTAAAGCGGCGATGAGAGCGGCGATGGTGGTGATGGTGGTGATGGTGGAGAAATACATTGTTGGATTCGTAGGTGTTGTTTGAATTTTTGAAAACTGATTGCGATTGTTCAAGTGGAAAAGTGTTGAAAAGATGTGTGAATGAGATCTTTGAGTTTGATGAATTGTTTGAATTGTTGATGGTGAAAAGGATGTTGGGATAGGAAGATGTGCTCCTTTTATGTCTTTACCGTCTGATGAACGCTCCAGGTCAAGAAGGACCTCTCTATCAGCTTGTGCCCGCTTTAGGAAGCACGCCGATCAATTGTTGCGGATTTTCTTGAAGCATGGGGCAGATTCCTGCCTGTGATAAATTCGGAATGACCGCAAAAGGAAGATCAGCACAACAAGTGGGACCATAAACATGTCTCAAGCCAGGAAGCCATCCTCGGAAGGTTGACTTGAGCACAGAGGGATCTTCCCTTGTGAACCAATTGCCTACTCTTTCAGCATCATACTAGGTGGATGGCCTAGTTTCATTTACTTATTGACGAGAGCATGAACAGCCACCCCAATGTCTCCGGCCACCCCTGACCTATATCATGTTGATCTTTAGAGGTGATTGGTGTCTACTGTGCTTTGAAGGCACGTGAGGCTGTGTGATTATAGTTCGATCTTTTGGAAGAGATCTAGGATATGATGCTATGGATGGAAACAGTTCGGGGTCTTGGATGCGATCATGGCCCCTTGCATGACTCCGCTACAGTGCACGGAATGATCTCCGCCCCAGAATTACAGCCAGCGGATCTGAGCCAAAAGTGCCTGCTTGAATAAGCAGATGGTTTAAGTCGAGATGTTATTATTATTCAGAAGAGGTGACTGTGTCACAGATACCGGACTGTTGGGTGGAATCCATGGCAATAACAACGACAGCTTATGCAGAGACAACATTCTGGTGACAGCGGTAATCGTCTTTAGCAGATGATGATCTTGTCGATTCTGGGTTAGGGACAGTGGAGACAGCCTATATGAGGTGGATATGAAGGCCTTTTTCTCCACAGATTTCATGAGCATGGCATATGACTCTTGCTTAGCCGGTTATGCATAAGCTATACGTCGAAGATTATTAGGGATTACGTACGATTTATTCTCATGATTTGCATGCTTTCTAGCCCCAGGGCCGGGTTCAGTATTCAGCATTGAGGACGCTTGTGGGTCAATGAAAACCATCGTTGCCGGACCACGTGGTGAAACCTTGTTGCTTCAGGAACATTCCAGATGCCGCTCACCTTTATCAGTAACTTCCAAAAAGAGTGAATGGTCGAATATTCTTCAATTGTCTTTAGGAGATGTGGAGTGGGACCTGGTGAAAGGATCTCCTCGGCTTGCGGCAAGGATGGACCCACTCTTGCTCCTATGAATTAAGAACAGGCTACACAACTTCCACAGCTACTATAGCAGTGTTACTAAGATCATCTACTTCACGTAATGATCCAACTTTTGGCCACAACGACCAAGGTGGACAAGTAAGACCCAAAACGGTGAAACTCCAAGAAATAAATAAACTTTCCTACCACGTATGCCTTAGCCGTCAACGATTAAGATCTTCTGTGTTACCAAAACCGACTCTTGATGGTCAGTCATGTCAGAATCCCTGCGCATACGATACGTATCTGTTACGTATTAGCAGGATGATACAGGGGTCCCCGCATGCGAACCTCACGAACCGCTCTTGTCGCTTTCACGCGCTCTTCAGTATCGCAGTGGCCATTGCTATACGAATTGAACGCCAAATGCTTTTACTGAGCTGCCTCAGTAATGCGCCTCTATAGCTATTAGTATGAGCCAAATGCCCCTCTTGCTAGGAGTAACCCAATCAACTCAATTGGTATCTCCGTACGCTATTTGCTACATCCTCTAACAAGTCAAGCCGCTTACATCTCCTTTTTGACGTCGTGACAGTAGTCGCTTGTTCTGCCCTTGAACAACTATATCAGTCTGTGTAAGATCAACCCCCCAAAACGCCAGATATCCACTATTCTGACGTTAAATGGACCCGTTTTTTTATTGGTCAATACACAGATGCCAAGATAACCTTAATTAAATATACACTAAGCCTAATTGGGAAGTAGCAACACCAACAAAAAAACAACTTGCTCAATGTGCTGTACTCAATCTATTCAGAGGGCAAATGACGCGCCCAGCACCTCGAATTATAACAAATTGGGATGTTGCACTTGCTACAAGACCATTTGGTCTTATGGATACCCGCTCTGCTGCCTCTTTGTGCGTTATTTGCAGCATTAGTAGGCAGTTGCTGATGTGCTTTGCGCGGTCTGCCTTCTTTTCGACTGCAGATCGGATTACATATCTTGCAGCGGCGATAGCCATCTCCTTTAACCCACGAATGACCCTTGTAGCTATCTTTTGGTACTAGCCTAGTATGAATAGCTTGAGAAGGGCGTGGTTGTTGTCGCCGCCGCCGTAGAATAGCTCCAGGTCCTCGTAGTAGAGTTTGCGCTATTTCTTCTTGAAACTGGGTATGGGAGAGCTTTCTGCGTTTTTTGCCTAGCTTATAGAGGATATAAGCGTTTGTAACTGCTGCGTTGATAAGCAGATAGAACAAGGGTAGCTAGTTAC